ATAAATAAATCATGACATTACAGATGTATACTAGCATTAACGCATCATTAGATCTACACATGTAAACTAAGCAGTAAAACATGAACAGATCAAATATGCGCAACATGTCGAACACGTACCGAGGTGGCGGAAAGACCGATTGCTCGGCAGGAACTACTCGCGGTTGCGAGCGTCGACGAAGGCGCGTAGCACGCAAGCGGAGAGGAAGGCGAGCCGTCGCGGACGAACAGGGAGCAGTCGCGCGAAGTGCTTCCCAAAAACCTTATTGCCGCCTTCTCCCGGTGCAAGACGTCGAAGGCAGAGGTTCCAGAGACCTGCTCTCCCGATCGCAGGTGCACGACGGCGAGCGGGATGGAGTAGTCTACGAGTGACGGCGCAGCACAGAGGAGGAGGCAAACCCTAGATTGATTTCGTGTGTTTTGCGTGAAGGCGGCGGCTCGGTTTATATAGAGATAGGTCGCTTGATCAGGGCGCCCGCACGATCTCCACTCCGCACAAACGAACCGGATAAGTCACGCGTAACTTATCCGGACTCCACGCCATTTTCACGCACCGGATTTTTCGGAGTGTTTCCAAAACAAAACAAATCCGAATTTTCCTGCAGCAAAACAAAACTGCAAAAGGAGGCTGCATCTGCGCAAGGGTGAGGAGCCAATTTTGCGGACCATTCGACGCGTACGTCGTGCACGCGCGCCACCTGCCCTGCCAGGCTAGGCGAGGCGAGCGAGCGCGTGTTCCCCCTCTTCTCTCCACCACACATGCTTCAAGTGGCTAGGAGGGCATCCTCCCTTTTAAGGAGGTCCCCCTCTCCTAGAATAAGCAAGGTGGTACTAAACTCCACATGCATGCCATCCCATGAGGTGGGCTTTTGTGATTTTCTAAAGAATTAATCTTCGAATGGGCCTTAGCCCATATATTAATTCCAACAGTGTGTGTGTGGGCGCGCGCTAGGCCCCCTTTGATTCAAAGGAAATTCATAGAAATTTTAGAGGATTTCATTCCTATAGAAATTTTTCCTATATAGCCCTCTGAATCAAAGGAATAGATCTTATAGAATCCTATGAAATTCCTATGGAGTGCCTAATGCCATGCAAGTTTTGGAGGAATTTTAACATGAGGTAGAACCTTATGGAAACTTTCCTTCGAGTCTTTATCTCTCCTCTAATTCCTATGTTTTTCCTGCGGTCCAATCAAACAATAATTTCTATGTTTTTCCTGTGTTTTGCTATCTCTATTTTACACTTACGTTCCTATCAAAATCCAACGTTTTTCCTATTCCTATGTTTTCTTATTCATGCGATTCAAGGGGGCCCTACCGAAACCCTCCTGCCACTAAGAGAGTGTTTGTGAGTAGGGGAAAAGAAAAGATTGAGAAGATAAGCTAGCGCATAATTAATTGAGTATTAATTCTTTTAAATTTTAAAAATTAATTGATATGAGTTTTTAAAGCAACTTCTCTAAAGTAATTTTTGCAAATTAAGCACTATTTAATAGTTCGGAAAACGTGAGCAGGAAAAATGAGGTAAATCTCAATCTACTAGAACGAACACAACCTAAATATTACTCCCATAATTAATCAATCAAGATTATTTTCATTCTTAATTTACTTAAAAACCTTATACAATTAATAAGTAGGGTTAATTGATGAGTATGTACGTCTTGCTCAGTATTTTTCAAAGAAAGGATATGTTTGATAGAGCTCCAAATAAAAAATGGATATGGAGTTGTGAAGCTAGGAAAAGGTCGTGATTTACTTTTCCATGTATTTTTCCCAGTAGATTCACCTACACCGCTCTTTAAAAATATTAAAAATTTAATGGTGTTTAGTTTGGCTTTAGCTTCACTAGACAATGATTCAGGGGATGGGTCCTGTTAAATAGCCCGAAAACATCCAAAACAGAAAATAATATTGTCTTAACTACATAGAAGTAAGGAGTGAAATACATGGCCGGTCCTTAAACTTGTGGGGTGGTGTCACTTAGATCCGTGAACTTGAAAATTGCACGTTTAGTTCCGTGAACTTAGTTTAATGAACCACACCTGGTCCAATCATCCTTTGACCACGTTTGACCGCCAACGTGGCATGCCACATAGGCAACACTTTTGTGCTCAGCCCCCTCCACATATATCTTCGTACATAACTTTCCCTAATCAGTGCATTTCAACCCAAATCCCCTAAAATATCCCTAAATCGGCTAAGGTTTCGACGGTGAGGTTAGTGGAAGGAGGTCGAGAGGTAGTGGCTGTGGCGGACTCGACGGTGAGATTAGCGGCAGGAGGCAGCGTGGTGCAGCGGGGTTAGCGGTGGCACAGTGCGGTCGGATTAGCGGCCGGAGGTAGTGCAATGCCGCTTGCACACTAGGCATCCCCATGGATTCTCCAAGCTCGTCCTTGTCTTGAAGTCGTCGGAAGAAGGTGTTGTTGACCAAGTGCCCGTTGTGTAAGGATAATGTCATTTTGGAGCGCAGAGCAATGGCAATTGATAATCAGGACCACATTTTCTATACATACAAGGAGAAAATTGAGAGTGAAGAACAATTTAAGGATTTTTTTTGGGGGGGGGGGATTTTGGTGTCACTGAATAGCTACAAGGAGATATATGCGACGTGTTGTGATGTGGAGGGAGTTGAGAGCAAAAGTGTTGCCTACGTGGCATGCCACGTTGGCGGTCAAACATAGTCAAAGGATGTTTCGACCGGGGTGGTACATTAAACCAAGTTCACGGACCTAAACGTGCAATTTTCAAGTTTACAGACCTAAGTGACACCACCACACAAGTTTAGGGACCGGCCATGTATTTTACTCGAGAAGTAAGTGTAAGTAGTGTTACGATCCCTTTCGGAGCCACAAATACCTCATTTCACGACTCAAACGTTTGTCCTAGAATGACATTAATTTTAGGTATGAGGTCTGCATTCGCCCTCTTTGTGTTATCCTCATTTCTCTTCTCTTAGATAGAGAACACACCATCACCTACCTCAAACCGTCAGGCGTAAACATCATTAATTAGTTAGAGCTTAGGCATGTCAAAAATCTAGGCGAGCATATCAAAGCACAGGAGAACCATTAATTCTTAATGAAAGGCATATTCGCACATTCGACCCATTCTAATACGCATTAGACTAACTTAAAAAAAATCTTTTAGAACGAAGAAAGTATAGGATTGTAAAGTATAGGATCGTATAGGATCGTAAAGGGTTGAGGTGAGGGGCTCCCCCACTTTTCACAACCAATGCGGGATTATTCAACAATCTTTCCCTTTACACATTAGTGTCTCTCAACCCTTCACCGTTTTCCTATGGTCCCTCAGGTATACAGGTCCCGCAGGCACACGGTCCATCAGGACTTTACACGTATGTCCCTCGAGCCAGAGATGTTAAACTAGCCAGGCTCTGATACCCATTATAGGATCGTAAATGGTCTTTCTCACCCTAAAAGGTAGCGAGGGGCTCACCCACTTATATATTGTCCCTTAATTTTTCACAACCAATATGAATCTATTCAACGGAGACCAAACAGTACTTTGAAAGTATGTAGACGCATATACTAGAAATTCCGATTTTAATAATCGGTCGTCTATTAGCAAGGGCCCCCTGGTTTTCCCCCTCACGAGCACTGCACAATTTCCTGTAGAAACTATAGCGATATTGTTGCAAACATATGTCCAGTAATTCTTTTATCACAATGTATACAGAGCTTTACTATCATTTCCATATATGTCCGTAGCAGCCATCATCCCTAGATTATATATATATATATATATCAAGGAAGATATATATATAAAGCCATGTTGGTAAAAACAAAACAATGCAAGATGCATACATATATTTATGGTGGGGATCGAGTACATGGCATGGCACTGTTCTACCATCATGTGTATGAGACAACACGAAAGTCTGCAGTGCTAAGTTAATAATGCATGGCCACAATCTACACACCATGCGTACGTGGGGATCCTTTTTGCTAAAAATACACCATGGGGATCGACTACTGTTTCTACAGGATCAGAGGACGTTTTTCATCTTAATTTTTCAAAAATAAAATAAAATGAAAGGATGTACAAGGACAACTTCGTCTCTATGCACACGCAACACGTACTACTATTGAGAAAGTAATTAACACTTAGCGCTGTCGGCTCATTTCATACGCTAGCTAGCTAGTTAGTGTTTTTTTTAAAAAAAAATAATGTGAAAGTCCTGCCATATCCGCTGCATCACAAATTTAAAGAATATAATCCCGACATTATTCATATAACAATATATTATTAAAGAAAATCCTGTTATTAAATTTGTATCCATGATTGGCAAAAATTGCATGACCATTATCTCTAAATAACGGCATATATATCTTACATTCTTTGCTAGTTCCCTTCACACCTTTGCAACACGGCCTAGCTAGCTAGAACCGCAAAAGACCAATATGCATGGTCACCTATAAAAAGTACTTGCATATATAATCTAACATAAGATTTATCAAAAACAAATTCATTTCGATTTTACTGCAAACCCCCAACATAATGCAGATGGCACAACTAACAATACTGACTTCAAAGCTTTAATTTACTGATCTCGATCGCACAAGCGTAGTGAGGGCAGTGATATGACGAGTAGCCCCGTACTAATTTCACATTGGATCTGATGACTAATACTCCGATCCGTATTAGTTTAGTTAAGAGAGTGGTGGCTTTTCAGTTTAAGCCTTCAGTCTTTTAAAATTAATTTATTTTTCTAAGAGAAATTTTTATTTAACTTCTCTGACCACAATTATATAGTACAACAATCTAAAAAGTTTTGGGTGTCAGGCATGCAGCGCGGCCAGCAGCTAGCTGGCAAAGTGGCAGAGTTTGATTTGTTACCACTGATGACTGATCCGCTCATGCATCATGCATGCATGCATATGGAGTATGTTTGTTTGTATATATATCATATCGATCCTGAAGAGATCTACCATATATCTGACAGATCCAAGCAATCATGGATCTCGATCGATCGGTAGATGCATGAACAACGACTTCCATAAGCCAAACAACTTGCGAAGCCGATCGATATATCATTTTGAAGGACTGTCCACTTGACTTCATTCACAATATATGTTGAGCTATCTTGTGTTGATTGGCAGGCAGGGACACAAGCTAGGCAAGCGGATCGACCTAGGATGGGCTGGAATTTCTTTCTTTCTATGAGATGGTCCGGCCCAACAATTAATCCTTCCATCTGCTCTGCATAAGTGGGCTGGCTTACTATAGTATAGTGGGACTGAAAAAGGAAAAAGAAAAACGAAAAAATTCGATCCATAGCAACTAAACAACCTGGTAAAAAATATACTCGCATTAAGTTTCCTGCTTCAACTAGAAGCATAGACCACCGGTTTTTCTTCGATACGTAGCACTTTCATCACATTTTAAGCTAACGGTGTTAGATTAGAGTAAAGAAATTTATCCTCGAATTATTTTACCCTTCGTTTTCCTCTTACATGACCAGGTCATCGACCAAGCTGCTATGCCTTGCATCCCTCGCTCTGTGCACCGTCGAGCAAGTAGCAGCCGTCGTCACCCCATTGAGTCTCTCAGCCCTTGTGTTGATAGGTTGCACACGTCAAGCCAGTCTTTTCCGCTAACGACCATTCTGCTCTACCTTTGCAGCCCTCGCTCTATGCACCGTCGACCAAGCAGTCGCTGTTGTCACCCGCTGAGCCTCTCAGCCCTCGTGCATGTTGATAGGTTGCACACGGTCAAGCTAGTCATTGCCGCTAATGACCAAGCCGTAGCGCCTTGCAGCCCTCGCGCAATAAGCAACCCATGAGCAGTAGTCGCTGTGCTTTGCTGTCACGCTCGGTCAAGCTACTTGCAAGCTGGCGCTGCAGTTGTAGCCCCACCGCGCCTCACAAGCAGTAGTCATCGTTGTCAACCAAGCCGTTAGAGATTGATGCCCCGGGAGCGGTGCCAACGGTTTCGAGCACGAAAGCACCACCCAGAGGCGAGAGGGAGGAGCTGAGGTCCATGGGGCTGCAGGTGGAGACCGATGATAGGGGCGAGAGCATCGGTGTTGGTGACGAGGGTCGTAGATCCAGCCGTCTGTGTAGACATAAATGATAGAGAGGAGGTGTCGAGATTGGCAGGCGGAGACGTAGCTGGCGAGGGCAAAGAGGACTTGGTGGCTAACATGGAACTTTTGGCGACGGAGGACGAGGACGATATGTAACACCCTCGTCACATTTACCATTTATACATGTAAGTTGGGATGAAAAGCAAAAAAGACTATTTGCTCTTGCTTCTCTCTATATAGCATCGTAACGAGGGTGTTACATATCGAAGAAAAACTAGTGACACTTGCTGCCTTCTAGCGAAGAGGGGAGGAATTTTTATGCTATTTTTTTTTCTTTTTTACCGACTGTTTTGAGAGTGCTAGGGGTGTGAAAAAGAAAAGGAGGCGATAAGGTTGGGAAAGGAGGAGGAAACGGACGCCACGTCACAAGATGAGAGAGAGAGAGAGAGGGTCGCATCACATCACATCACATGATGCTGCTGGGGCTGCAACTGAAGTCCACGGCCCCCTTGTGCAAGAAAGAGGAAAGAAAATTCCAAAATTGCTTCACGCACCCCCCCACCCACACACCACGCGTCCTCCACCGTCCGATCTCCACCGCCCACAGCCCACACCACGGTGGGAACGGGAACGCGGCCTCCCCTATTCGGCGCAGTTGCTATACGTACCCCAGCCTCGTACACAACGCCTTCCCCCTCCCCTCCTCTCCTTTCCTCTCGCCCACCGGAATCCTCCTCCTCCGCCCCTAGGCAAGGCAAGGCTAGGATTGCCGCCCGCCGGAATATCTCCCCCACCGCCGCCGCCCTCCCGCCGGCCCACGGGATTGGATTCGCCTCTTTACAAGGCCTATCCTGCCCTCTCTACTACCACCCTTATCGATCTCTATCTGGTTTCCTTTACCTTTCGATTTGATTCAACCACATCGAAATCGATTCTATCTCTACCCGCGACGCGATGACCACCTCCTACCGGTACTGCTTGCTAATCCCGATCCCACCTTCCTCTCTCTCTTGTGCGCTCCATCTCTTGTTATTTTACTACTATCATCTTCAGGGCTTGGCTTCGATTCGTTCTAGGTTTTTCTTTTCTTTTCTTTTCTTTATATATACTCTTGGTGTTGTTCTTGTATGGTCCGAAATGATCCATGTTGATTGGGGCTCTAGACTGCACAGGCATATGCATCCAATATCTTCTTCTAGGCACAATTAATTTAATTTCTTGTGTGACTCTAGGATCTAACCTCGATTGGTGGATGTTAACTGCTAGTTCCCTGTGTTGCTAGTATGTTCTCTTCATCCTTCACTCATTACATGTCATCTAAAAGGTACATGTTTCATGTTTCGGCGGTTTAGGGAGCGTTCTTATACTAAAAATCATCATACATGCCCTAATAAAAATTATATCTTCCCCCCCCCCCCCATTACTGCACCTATTGTACTGCTGGTGCCATAAATAAACCAAATCCGCATTCATCACTTGCTAAACAAACCATTGCAAACTGAGTTTGATTTACTCAATGTTATGGATGGTGCTTATCTAATTGGCATAACAAGCTTTGTGCGTCAGGGTTCATCGGTCATCATCCAGCTACTATATTCACAACTCGTGTGATGGATGTGCTTACGTGCTTTCCAGTGCCATGGGATCGTATTGTGGCCTTCATCTTGGTTTCTCCACCAATGTCCGTGGGGAGGAACCATGGCCAACAATGGAATTATGTTCTTCTTGTTGCTGGAGCACCGTTATCTTCTTCTCCTATTATTTTCTGTTGCCGCCTTCTTCTGTGCCAACCAGCCACACCAGCAGAAGTTGTGCTTCGACTGATGGTGGCGGGAAGCACAATTAATTGTGCCCTTCATTTCAGAGCATGCCGAAAAATCTCCTTCCCCTCTTCAGATTTATACTTACTGCCAACAATGATGAGTACCATACATGCTAATCGTATAGCTCCTTTAATAGCGAGTTACTAACAAAGGAGTTTAATTTTATGCCCTCCATGGGGGCTTATTTTTAAACGAATTGATTTTATAGTTAACGTTCGCATCACTCAACCAGGATGTATGCTTTAAGAAATATAACATGATTGCCATGTAAAACGCCTGATGCACTATTATCATATTTCTTGATGAGTTGGGTCCTGAAGAAACATTTTTTTCAGTTAAAATAGCCATCCATCAAACTTTTTTTTTGTTAAAGAAAATAAACTATGGCTGACAAGATTTCCATGTTCTTAATTGCTTTCAGTCTGGAGTGCTTTCTGATCTCTAAGACTAGTGTTCTCGTAGGCTAGGTGGTCACAGTAGTTTAACATGATGTCCATCTAGTATAACAGGACTCGTATTTTTTTTCTATAATTGATGCTAAGATTTATATATCTTCTCTTATCTTTTGTTTTAGTTAGTCAACATTTTAGCCTTACAAGCATAGTTTGTCGTATCCTTTTTGGAAAATAAACGGCCTATACTTTTCTGTTGATATCTGAGGAGGTGTATGGCCTGCGTCAAATTTATTCACCTGTGGTACAAAGGTTTTAGCTAGAATCTCGTGGGTTGGCTATGAATGATATGTGCAAGAATATATAATTGTTCCAGACATAAATTAAATATTGCCTGTCTCTTGTACTCTTTATATATACATCTTTATGCCATCTTTATTCCTTTTTTTTTCCTCTTGGTCTCAGGTGTATTTCACTTACTCTTTTGGATAGCATGGCTTATATCGGAACTACCTCTATGCTAACATTGTCTAGGTCTCATTAGCTAGATTAACTTAACTGTTTTCACTTAGTGGTGTTAGTCTGTAAAGAAAATGAATACCCAGTCTTAGTTGAGTCTTTTGTAAAAAAAAAAAATGGAACCAAAGAATGCAATTGCACTGGATGAACATGTGCTGGATTCTACTATCCGCAAGAGGAAGCGTGTGGGTGCTACTCAATGTGCTGAGGCCAATGACGCCCCCAACCTCTCTCAGAATGGTCCAAAACAGAATCTCGCTTTATTTCCTGATTCGACTGGACATAAGAAGTCCAAGATGATGTGCTCTGCCGATGACATTCTGGAGAGGTACAATAACTTCAAGATAAGCGGGATGCCTGTTCGTGTGATGTCTCACCAACATGGTGGATGGAGAGACTTCCCAGAGGATGTTGTCAATTCGGTACAGCAGAGCTTCCAGTTGAAGAGGCCAATTACTAGTGCAGTATTCCAGAACAGGCACATCCTGTTGGACTTCATGCAGATGGTTTGTTTAGATTCTGTGATGGCCATAAGCAAGCCAATTGCTTGGATCGATGATCATGGTAAATGCTTCTCTCCGGATTCATGTGCTGGAGTAATACCATCTGAACCTCTGCAGCATGGAAAAAATGAGTTCTTGAAAAGTTTTCATGATCTAAGCAGTAGTTATGAAGCTCATGAACATGATGGGATGTCTGCAGCTGAAAGCTCAAGTTCAGCGTCTTTTGATGCAGTGCTTTCTGATGTTCAGGAGGTCAATAATGTAGTGGAGGACAAACAGAAGGTACTCAATGAAAGTGGTGAAGTTTCTGGGGAAAATAAAAAGGGCCATTTAAGCCATATGAATGAAACTGCTGATGGGGCCATGCAAGCTCCTCGTAATAATCAAAGTGTCCAGCGTGCTGATTCAGCTGTTCGGAATTTGTTGTTTCAAGGATCAGGCCATCTATTTACTGAAAAAGACATCATCGGTATTTATAGAACCCCAATGCTAGATCAACTTGGGAGGTCCCGTTATAGTCTTTTCCAGAAGGAGGTACAAGTCACAAAAAATCAACGGGGAAATGCAAATGAGCGTTATGCATGGCTTGCTTGCACTAAGGGTACTATGGAGGAGATGATGATGAATGGTGCTTTGGAAATAGCAAAACCTCTGCAGGGTCCAATGTATGGTGTTGGGGCTCATCTTGCTCCAGCAAACTCCTCCAATATCTGGTAAATACCTTTTGTTTCTGATTTATTTGTTCTATGTGCTCTTACGCCTCTGGTGTTACTGCTTTTGTTTTGGATGTATAGTAGCCTATGTCTTACTTGAAGTTTGTCCACAGTGTTGGTTTATCTGATATTGACGAAAATGGAATCATAAGGATGATGTTGTGCCGTGTTATAATGGGGAATGTTGAGGTGGTTTTCCCTGGATCAAATCAATGCCAGCCAACCAGTGAAAGTTTTGACAGTGGTGTGGATGATCTCCAAAGGCCAAAGCATTACATCATATGGGATGCTAATGTGCATAAGCACATTTATGCTGAATATGCTGTTATTATCAAAGTACCTTACATGAACAATGGTACTATACCATGTTTTTTCCCCTCTCTTTTTTACCTTGTGTCGTTATTTTCCATTTGCCCTAGATAACTTATTTTATATTACTGTATGCTATTTGGTTACAGGAGATACTGCATCCAATATCTCTGAGATAAGAAATTCTGGTGCACTAGACAATCCAACCAAGGTATGCATATTATGGTTTAGCTGGTGTGCTGTTGTTCACTGAAGCATAATTCAGTTCTGTCATGTAGTACGTTTTGCGGGAAAATTGAATTTGTCTCACCTAGGCTTAATGATCTATTATGTAGTGTAGTGGAAAGGGTGAATGGATGCTTAGACTTGAAGGCGTGTTTTGTGCTTCTCGTTATGGGATTTGCTCACTTTATTAGCGAAATTTCCAGTTGGCGTTTAAATAGGTTCCCATTTATTACTGTTTCCGCAGTTAGTGTTCTTTAACCCGAAAAACATAAAGATGACAATTACTATATCTCTTTATATTTTGGTTATGGCCTATGGCAGATCCTTATTGAATTCCACTCTTGTATTTCTTGACTTGATGGTGATGGAATTTCATATTTTTCTTCATTTTTGTTGTTGATTAGTACCTTTTAATGTCTGATCATATATGGTAGTGGTGTAGGATGGGGGCGGGAAGATCAAAGAACTTTGCTTAGTTATGTGTTTCCTTCTTGCTGATGCTCTTTGGATGTAAATGAAATTTACTGAAATGGATTCAGGTTCTGTTGGCCCAATTCCTCTGCTTTTCATAATTTGCAGAAACTAATCCGGTTGATTTTTCTAAAAGAAAAACTGGTTCACAATTGAATGATTGATAATTGGCACTTAATGGGCGAGCTTAGTTGACCTTGATTTTGATGACAGTTTTAGGAAAAATTTCATCTTGTTAATTTGTTGCTTGCTTGTTGTGAGCAGGATGACAGTCTACAGACCATTGCGTCTTCAGGTGATGAACAACAAGCATGTATGCTTGGGCGTGCTCCAAGTCCAAGGTCTCCTAGTTCACCTTGGATGCCCTTTTCAATGCTTTTTGCTGCTATTTCCGCTAAAGTACCCCGTTCGGACATGGATCTGGTGCATAAATATTATGAAGAATTCAAGGTTATTTGTCCTTCCTTTGGAGATTTTCAGCTACATGCAATATTTGTTTGCTGGCATGCTAATTATGGTATGGTTTTTGATGTTAAAATAGAGGAGAAAGATAAGCAGGCCTGACCTAGTGAAGCAGCTGAGACAGATTGTTGGTGACAAGCTTTTGGTTTCTACAGTAGTGAGACTTCAGCAGAAGGTACTTCTTTTTTACTGTGCTAACTCTTTGTATACAGTTCACTTAGGATTTGAAGTCCTCCATCCTCACTCAATGTGAAGCCTGCTGTGTATATTTGAGGAAGCGTGGTACATGGAATTATGCAATCAGCTAATTGATTTTTTTCCCCAAAGGACCACATATCATGCTTAGTATGCAGCATGGAATCCGTAGCATTGTTTCATACCGTCTAATGTTTGAGTTTACCATTTACTAATTTCCACTATATTATTCAAACATATGTTTTTACTTACTATTGATACCTGCCGCAGTTGCCACCCATGGCAGCAACTGAACAAGCGCCAAGAGCACCTGGAAGGGGAGGAGGTGCTAGTCCGTAATTAAAAATGACAGTTTGCCGACATAACAAGCTGTGGAGGAGTCGGGTTGAGCAAAGAGAGCTCAAGGAAATGTGTGTAAAACGTTTGTGCCGTAATGCACAGACTTTAGCTCTTGACAAACAAAACTAGTCTAAACTTCCTTGTTGACAACATGTTGTTTGGTTGTATAACCATGCATGGTATTCTCGACTACCGGCTGTAGTGTTGTTCTTTTTCGCCGTCAAATGTAGCTGCGGCTTGAATTCATCAATATCTCCTGTGGATATTTCGTTCCCGTTTCTTGCAGCTTGTGTACACCATTGCCTTCATTCTGATCCTGGGGTGGCCTCGCTTGAACTTAGTAATGCTAGGTAGTAGTTGCAGCATGTTCCATGAAATGGAAGCAACAACTTGAGCCTTGATCTAGGTTTACAAAACCGCTCGGTTATCGTGGTTATCATATGTGGTGAGCTTTTTAGTTTTTGAAACCACGATATACCTACCACGCTGTTGTCATGGTAACCGTGAGGTGAGGTAATCTTGTTTGGTTAACCCTAGCTAGCCTTGATCATGTACCTACCACAGCCTTGGTCATGCACCTACCACGCAAGCAGAAATCTTTGACAAAAACTTGTATGGGCTGATCTGATGCTACCCACATCCATTGTTTGCGTTTTGGCTTATTAGCTGCAACTAGAATTTAAATTTTAAAACTTGATTTTAAGTTAATTTAAGGTTTTCTTTAACGCAGTTTATATTCTATTAGTATTAGGCTTTTTAGATTATATACTTAGACTATTGAAACAGATTATTTACTATACCATTCGAAAAATACATATTCTTATTTTTTTTTACTATTTGTTTTGAGTTATTTGTTAAGTTTATATATTAAAATATTTAATTTATCTATACAATTTAGTAGATAATTTACAACTACAATCTGATGAATAATCTGTTTTAAACCGAGTCAAATCACTAAGGATATTATATAAGAGTTTTATGTATAAATTATTTTTAGTTGCTTCGTTTATTTTTTCTTTGACTTTGTCAGCTGTAAAACAAGCGTTCCAGAAGACAGAAAATTAGTTATATATATATATATATATATAAAATTCAAGGCTGTTTTATATACTCCCTGTGTTTCAAAATAAGTGTAGTTTTGCACTATTCATATTCAACATTGGACCGTTCGTTTTATTTAAAAAAAATTATAATTAGTATTTTTATTGTTATTAGATGATAAAACATAAATAATATTGGTTTCAATAGGACTCCTTACGAGCGTTCTTTCTATCTACTATTATCTAAAAATAGTCAAGTTATTAATGACTAGACGAAACCAAAAAATAACCCCTTATGTACGAAATTATAGAAGATCCCCTTTAAGATCAAACAATTCCATCGAATTGAGTATGACTGTATGTGTGATAGCATCTACTATATCAGGAATATCAATGAACCCCATTCTTGCAATTGCTCAGGATACCCTCTTTTAGCTGCTAGGTCTATTTCTTAGTTCAAGATCCCTCTTAATAACTGGAATAAAAGAATTAGTAGATCTGTTCCGCCCAAAATGGGAATGGGCGCTAGGGTTATGAACTTATAATCATGGAATCGACTCGATCATCAGATTATAAGTTCATTCCATACCGGACCAGACCGTGCACATTCTTATTATAAGAAGTGGTCATTCGAGCCTATGGAAATAGGATACTCTGTTTACATAGAAATCCCCACGTCCTTACATTCTATTTAGGATTAGGAATAGGTGTAATCAGACCTGCTTTTGACATATCTATTCTATCCTTATTTGGGTACCATATGCACCTCTTTGGGCTTCTATTGAATCGAGAAATTGGATTGTATATCTTTTTGATTTTGATACATATAAGGTGTCCTACGGATAATGCAAATCGAAGCTATTTGATGTCTGACTCAGGCCTATATGACCGATCGAAATACTCCAAGACTCCACCTTTGTCATATATTCCATATATCACATTAGATAGATATCATATTCATGGAATACGATTCACTTTCAAGATATCACATTAGATAGATATCATATTCATGGAATATGATTCACTTTCAAGATGCATTGATGGTGAAATGGTAGACACGCGAGACTCAAAATCTCGTGCTAAAGAGCGTGGAGGTTCGAGTCCTCTTCAAGGCATAATACGGAGAATGCCATTCAATGAGCATTCCCCGTAGAAGTATTCCGGAAATCTGCGCCTGGCGCTCTCCTCTATCTTCTGAGGTCCTTAACCACTTCCCTGAGAAAAGGAGACAGTAAAAGCCAAAATAGACTAAATATAGCCTGAACGATCCTAAAAATCCCTCGAAGGAGATAATATAATAAAGAACCCAAAGCAGACGGTATCCTACTGCAAGGGTGGTCTTAAGAATCCAAAAGAGGTTGCTCAGAAGAGATAGATGTATCCCAACCTCTATTGCTCTCGCGTAAAGCCTTTTTTTTACGCGAGAGGAAAAAGTGACTACGAATTCCCCTTTTTGTTTGCGAATCCCTGTTTGTATCCTTTGAGCGCACGCCCATAAGTAGCGATCAAGGAAATCGATCAAACGATCCCAATACCGTGAAAGAGAAACTTCCCAGATCCAGGGAAGCTTATCATAAAGGGCTTCGACAAGGGGTTCTATTCGTTCTTTGAGCAAAAAGATAAAGATCGGATAGATTCGAACCGCAATTGCAAAGGTAATCACTACTATGCCAGCCTAAATCATGATCTTCACCAACTTGGATTTGGTTCTCTCGCGAAAATCGCGAGTTGCAGATATGAGAACCTTTATGTGTGACTATTTTTTTTAATTTTTTCATAATTTTTTCAAATAAAACGGACGGTTAAATGTTGGATACGGATATCCACGGCTGCACTTATTTTAGAACAGAGGTAGTATAATTCAAAGTTTATAAATTATCACCTGATCAAATGATATGTCTGTTAATGGATAGAACCGAACAACCAGTCCACATGCGCATCCGCAACCAACTAACAAAATGTGAATTATATATTCTCAACTTGAGCATGTCAGGGGAATGTTTTTGTGCTGGAGCACCTAGCTAGTACTGTATATAATTTCGGTGAGCTGATCAAATTTAGAGGTGGATTTGGCTGAATTATTGAACATATATATTTCGTCAAAAAACATATAAATTTATATCGATCCTTATATATATGCATATATGTAAGTATGGGACAACCTAGAGCTTACAATGCTAGTACTAGTCTGCAGGTATACCTAACCCTAACCAATCAGCTAATCAGGTCGATGGTTGCACCGTCACATCCGTTATTATACAGCCACCGTACGTACGTATGCAAACTCCTACTACATGCCTGCGCATGTGAAATGCCAGCATATATACACTGGCCTCTACTACTGTACGACCGTCAATTGTTGCCTCAGCTGCATTTTATAGGTGTATGCATGTACTGCTGTACAGGGGGTGTTTAAATCCAGGGTGTAAAATTTAGACGTGTCACATCGGGTATTATATAGTATAGAGTGTCGTATGGGTTGTTCGGACACTAATAAAAAAACTAATTGCAGAATCTATAAGTAAATAGCGAGACGAATTTATTAAGCATAATTAATCCGTCATTAGTAAATGTTTACTGTAGCACCACATTATCAAATCATAGAGCAATTAGGCTTAAAAGATTCAACTCGTAAATTAGTCACAATCTGTGTAATTAGTTATTTTTTAGCCTATATTTAATACTTTATGTAGGTGTTCAAACATTCGATTTGATAGGGTATAAAATTTTTGTGGGGAACTAAACAGGGCCATAGTCATATATTTATGCTGGCTTCTACTTCCTCCTTCAATTTATATATCCTCTTTACATTGATGCCATACATATGATCTCTTCATCTGCCGAGCCATTTGAAGTGGATATACATATTGACATGGAATAAATAATTTATATGCTCGCTCGCCGAGAAGGAAACTGAAACATATATTTGTTAGTTAATCTGAGCCTTGGATGAGCATTAATTCATACATGTATACCGAAGGAAGAACTACATGAAGGAAGAGTTGTGACTAATATTTATAGACTGAACTAACCGCACATGCAGCTTAATGATAAACAAGCACTAGCTTAGCTAGCTAGCTGCATTACAATCCGTGTATGATTAGTTTGTTTCATACATACATACACATATAAATGAGGGGAAAAATAAAATCTGTTCATAATTTTGTCCTCTCATTAGAAGGCTTAATTGCTGGCTGGTTATTTGGCTAACGAACCCACATGCCATATGAATAAGTGGTTTAATTTTTATCTGATTGCGCAGGTTGCAACCAAATGCTCCTAGATTAATTATCACCAACAGATAAGGTGAGGCCAGCGGGATAAATTAACTACTTGTGAGGTTGGGTATGTTGAGTCTTCAGAAGTCGTTATATTTTGAGATAAAAGTTAAACTTCAGCGGTATTTAATTTATATTTTGGAACGGGCGAGTAATTACTTTGTGGATATATATGCTTAAGCTAAGTTAATTTGTAGGGTCGGGCGTACGTGGATGGATAAGATTATAAGAGAGGGACCTGAGCTGATGCTGCAGATGATAGGGGCCACGAAAATGAAATGTGATACATATATAGCAGAGGGGAGAGACTATGTATCTAGCTGCAGCCTGCAGGTTTATATCAACCTAGCTCTGGAGAAGCAGACAGAGAGACAGACATACAGGCATCATCCTTGATCCCATGTTACACGGGGGTCTCTCTGTCCGAAACCTGAATGTCCTTGCATTGCGTTGCATTGCATTGGGGCCTTCTGAACTACTACTCTAATTAATCATGTCGTCCACATGCATGTGCTTGGCTGAATGAGCAGCTGCAGCTTGTTAATTAGTACTCCAGTTTGCTAACCCGGCCGTCAACGGATATGGGAGATTATTATCCCTTGCCATGTTCAGACAACAGATATGTTTCGTAGCCGTGACATAGAAACTACTAGTTCAAACTGCAGATATATATGGATAACAACTCTGAAATCGTAATCAATCGCCTTGCATGGCTGCTATGGCAGTGGGTCAATGCAAGCAAGAAAGAAAGATTAATTAACTTGTATGTGTAGTATTCGCACAGCCGTTCCAAACACCACCTAATTAGTTGTTAATAATTAATAATGTACTGAACTATCAAGCAAATTAAGCTAGTTCCATGAGTGAGTAGGAGTACGTCAGTACGTGGCCCGTGACGGTAGGTAAGGTTCCCTTTCTTTCCTTGTCAATCGATCAATCTGCTTTCCCTTCCTTTCATCCAGGGAATTCAAGGATCCAAGAATATGTACACTTTGCTAGCACTTGCCTTTAATCCATCAGTCCAACTAATTCATCACACAGTTCAGTTATTAGGGAATTATATAAGCCACCACCACAAATTAATTGGTTCACAATATGTGTCCAGCTAATTAAGATCAGGTACCGCTAATTAAGATCAGGTACCCAAGTATAGCATATGTTTAGTCCAAATTAAATTAACTAGTTCATGAGGACTACAGCAAGTAGGTAGCTTACCAACTCTATGGGTGAAATTAAACATATGATCTTTTTGTGTGTTTTGAGTGTTAGTTTTCGACTATCATGTCTGCTTGCATATATAGATTTTTATCGATCAAATTTTGTGATGAGCAGAGCAGTCACTGCCGTGCTAGCTAATAACTAACCTGTGCGTAGTGTGTATACGTATTTTCTCATAAATGATTTGAGATGAAAAGAAAAAGCAGAGGAGAGGAGCTAGCTAATTAAGCTTGAATTATATAGATAAGTGCAGTACACGTAAGTACGTGACAGGGAGCGATGGAGAGACGAAAGACGGCGACTGCACAACAGATGAATTGATGGAGTATGTATTTAAAAGCCTCGCTGGCGATCGATCGATTATATTGACTGAAGAGTAATCTCTGATGGATCGATTTTTGAATCCCAAAATTAAACGATATGATATGATAGAGACATAGCCTGTATCCAAGTTATTCAGTTATACAACTACTAACTCCTGCTGAACAAACCTCATGAAAACTTTTAAGCCAAACAAGTAATTAATCATGCATCTCATGAGCTCACAAATATTATATGACGCAACCAAAGCTAGCGTAGCTAGCTACTCTTGAAGTGGAGGAAGGAAGAATATACATGTGCATATGTATGTATGGTATGATAAACTTGACTAATTATACCATTGGATCATTGTTAACCAGAAATGGTATAAAGAAGACGCATATTTTTCTTTCTCTTGCGACGGTGGGCATGACAGAGACGCAGCATATATAGATGGATGGCATCCGACCAACTCCAATTGGCGACGTCGTCTTCCTTCTCTTTCCGCCCGCCACTTCATACCGCCCTCTACTCTTGTTGCTTAGCTACCTAGCTAGCTAGCTTTCCTCTCCACTCCATCCACCCACGCACCTCAATCGATCGATCCTCCATGGCGGCGGCGGTGCTGGCGGTGCTGTGGGCGTGCATGATGATGATGAGCCTAGCTCCGGCGAGCTTGGCGGCGTCGGGGTTCGAGGAGGTGCCGACGATCGCGTTCGACGAGGGGTTCTCGCCGCTGTTCGGGGAGGACAACATGGTGAAGTCGGCCGACGGGCGCACGGTGAGCATCACCCTCAACCGCTACACCGGCTCCGGCTTCATCTCCTCCGACTACTACCACCATGGCTTCTTCAGCGCCTCCATCAAGCTCCCCAAGGACCACACCGCCGGCGTAGTCGTCGCCTTCTACGTACGTATTACTAGCATTCATTCTAGCTCGGTGATCGATCAAACCATGCATGAATTGATCACGATATATGTATTGATTGCTGGTGATGCATGCAGCTGTCTAATGGAGATGTGTTCGAGAAGACGCACGACGAGCTGGACTTCGAGTTCTTGGGCAACAGGTACAGGCACGAGTGGAAGATGCAGACGAACGTGTACGGCAATGGCAGCACGGACCGTGGGCGGGAGGAGAGGTATCTGATGCCGTTCGACCCAACCGCCGACGCCCACCGCTTCTCCATCCTCTGGCACTCCCGCCTCATCGTCTTCTACGTCGACGGCGTCCCCATCCGCGAGGTCCCGCGCACCGCCGCCATGGGCGCCGACTACCCCTCCAAGCCCATGGCGCTCTACGTCACCATCTGGGACGGCTCCACCTGGGCCACCGACAACGGCAAGTACAAGGTCAACTACAAGCGCGGGCCCTTCACCGCCGTCTTCTCCGACCTCGTCCTCCGCGGCTGCACCGCCCGCTCCGACATCCGCCTCGCCACCACCGCCGACGACCAGGACAGGTGCGCCGCGGCGGAGGAGGACCTCATGGAGAGCGACGAGTACTCCTCGACCATGGCCATGACGGCGAGGAAGCGGATGGCGATGCGGCGGTTCAGGCAGCGGCAGATGCTCTACACCGTGTGCTACGACACCAACAGGTACCCGGAGCCGTTCCCGGAGTGCGACGTCAACATGGCGGAGCGGCAGATGTACTGGCAGTGGGGGGAGTCCAAGGTGGTTCGCCCCCGCGTCCGACCACGACCCGGCCGCCGCTCCAAGCGCCGCCCCTCGCCGGAGGCCACGGCCATCCCGCCGCCCGTGCTCGTCTCCTTGCAGCAAGCTGACTAGTCTTTGATTAGAATATTCTATTCTATGATGAGGCTCTAGCTCCATCATAATTCTTTGATTAATTTTGCTTCCTTCACATGCGTACATCGATCATACTGTAATTAGTACCCCCTGATGATAGAGATTAATTTATTGTTACTGCTGCTTCTTCACGACGAACAGTTATAACCGTGGTCTTAATTAACCATTAACTATAAATCTATCAATAGGTAATCCTTTGTTGGTTTATCCTATTTGATGTCGATCTGGCTATCTGATCATTGGTACAAGTATGTTGTTAGTTGGATTGATGCTTAATTAGTTAGTGATGGTGCGATGATGGATTGATGAGAAGAAAGCAGCTGCATATACAGAGGTACTCCAGTTGCTTATTTGGTCACAATTGAATTACGTGCTACTACTAATTAATTGCGGTGGTTAAGTGTGCATGTGGGAGTTGAGAGTGAGCCGCGCGCAGGCAGTCTGCAGTACGTTCGATCCAACTCAGATCAGATAATCGAAATGCGTACTTGTTGTGGTTGATGAATGATGATCGTATTCGTATAGATATAGCTAATATATTCCAGCCAGCTCTGCCCTGTAAAGTTAAGTAGAGGAGATAATGATGATGATGATGCAAATTCATCCCATCATTATTGGCAGTATTAAGCTATAATTAGGCAGCTGATGCTGCAATGCATAATGCTTGTTCCAACTTCTCCATCCATCGTCTGCATGCGCTGGTGCTTTGCTGTCTTCCATTTCCACCTCCTTTTCCCTCAACCTTTTGTTTTTGTTTGGCTCTGCCTCAGGCTCAGCTGGGTTGGTATTATGCGCACCGAAAGCAAGCATTGCAAGGGCATTGATTCAATTAAAGACAACTAATTATACATTAATCCCCAGGACCGTGCATATTATTCCATCGCTTCCCTTCATCCCAAATACTACATTACATATGTGTTGTACTATACTATAATGATGATTCCATAATGATAATAATGTTGATAGGTACTCTACATGGGGTTTGTAATCTCTGTCCCAGCAGGCAGGCATTCCCCTTTTGACAAAAATCTGAAACCACTTGCGGTTTAAAGCCCCCTTTCTCTAGTGTCTAGTCTGGACCCTGCATATCGTCCAATCCATACACAGATTGATAATCCCCGTTAATTTTCTCCTAACACAATACTACCACATAGTATATTTCTTTTCTGTGCATTCCAAACAGCCCAAACAAACCCCTGTTTGTAGTCTATTCTACCTGCCCTCGTTGTATGTGTGGGGGCGATGTTCATTCCCCCCTTTTTTCCTCTGCACGAAAATGTTGGCTGGGTCGGCACCTAATAAACATCCTTTACGAAAAAAAAAGAGAAAGAGAAAGAGAAAAGGAAAAAGAGAGAAACGACGCGAGTTTATCTTATCACAACAGGGTAGACAATAAAACAAAGAGCATGTGACGACTGCTTACATTTTCCCGACATAAAGTACACCCCCTGTGACAAACAAATCAAACTAGCCCAGCATTTCACTAATCATTCAATCATTTTTTTAATGCAGTATCAAACAAATACTAATCCACAACTTTTACTACTTACCAAAACATTGACCCACGCAAAGCTCTTACTCCTACCAAGTCAAAAAGGAAATAAAAGCATTGTTGAAAACAAAGGCACCTCCTGATGAATTGCCCATGCTGCTTTTCCCAATATTATACCAAAATGCTGGAAAATGGACTCTAAAACTATACAGACAAGAAAAATGCAACCACCATGATTCAATAACAATGGCTTCTAATGCTACCAGGTCAGTGCACAGATGAACGGCTTGTACCACTTAAACATGACATTATCAGTTGCAAGAAATGCTTCAATCTTATCTTGTGCAAGAGGAAAAATACAGCAGAATAAATGCAAATGTGTTTTCAAATAACACTGGTGAAAAGGACTTCGATTGATTCAACCTGTCTTATTAAGCATATCATATAAGTTGCTGAGTTCAGTGAAGTTATGAGAAGTGCCCTCACTTTCCCGTTCGGCTACACCGGCAGGAATCAATCAATGCCAGAATCTGAAACAGTCAAAGTTACTTAATTTTGGAATCAATACAGTGTGGCAGACTGCCAGTACTACCAGAAGTTAGTTGCAATCAGATAGAGCAGGCAAGAACAAAAAAAAAAAGCTATCAGTAGCTACAACACAAAGTAGCTATCATACAGATTTGACAAGTTACCATTGATCAATTCTTACGCCTGCCAAACCTAGATACAAGCAGGTAAACCCCTCGGGTAAACCGTGTTTCATAGGTGGAAGATTAGTATCCTCCCACATATAGGGTGACGTTTCAGTATTGTTTCAGCAAAATGATAGAACATAACATAGACATAAGGGTAGGTGATGATGTGGGAGTTTATTACCGAGATCCCAGGGTACCTTGACAAATGGTGGCTAAGTATGTCCTATTGTACCTCATCATCCTGTATGGTGTGATGACAGGAGGCCCATCTGTTCTGTAAGGTTAGCCATGTTTTCAGCTTTGGTCCATCCATTCCCCTGTTGTGTTTCCTTTTGGTCTAGTACACCTGAATCGACTTCATCATTATCAACAGATAGAGGGCTAGCCACCAGGAACTGTTCCCAGAAAGAATCAATGATAGCAGGAAGTTTCTGGGTGTCATCGTTGTACAAAATCTCATCAGTCTCAATGGGAACACTATCATCACCTTCTTCAGGCAAAGAGAATACACCCTCAGGACCAGGCATTTCAAAGCCCCCTCCAGGAATATCAACATTTTCTTCAGCTACTATATCTTGCAAATCTGGGAATTCCAGAATATTGATATCAGTTGGGCCTGGAGCCACAGCCTTCGGAACAGAAGGCACCGCACTCATGTTTGGAACTTCTTTGGGTATGCCGTTGTCCAAAACAACTGGGCACTGAATCTGAGGAGTCGAAGTTGAACAAATAGCTGAAAGTCCAGAGCTTGTAGCTACATATGGCAAACCTGAGTTAGCTGGGACCTCTGCAAGGGTAACACCAGAATTCCGAGTTGATGAAGAGCTGTCAAGACCTTGACCATTTGGCATATAATTCTCAAGAAGGAAATTATCTGAATTGCCCATGGATTCAAATCTATGTGAAGAATCTAGCTTTAGGATCTTCCTTAGCATCGCTTTGGCTGCTTCATTGATCATAGGTTGATATTTTACTATTTGTCCATCCAATGAAGCACTTTCAGAGTCCAACGAACCATCCTGCTTTGGTAGCCTCCTCTTTTTGTTACTAGCAACTATTCTTCTTCTGCTGTTTTCGTTTTGCTGTACAAATTGTGCTAGGAAGCCAGGACTATGCATTGCCTTAGCCAGGAAAGACATCATTTGTTGTTGCCGTTGCTCCATTCCTTGAAGACGCTTGCCCAAAGTCTGCAGCTGATGATCTGTTGTCTGCTGTTGTTGTCTCAGCCTGACAAGTTCCTGCATTAAAACATTTTTATCCCTTTTGAGCATCTCAATCTCTTCTTCCATCCCAAACTTCCCCACTTCTACGCAAGCAGGTACAGGAGCAGCTGGCAACTGAGGCTGCTGAACTTGGTTGTTTCCATGAGTTGGTTTCCTTCTGTTGATGGTCTTCAGTAGATGCTTTTGTCCTCTAAGAAAACCTTCGTTTGCAAACTCCCACCTATCTGGATCAACTTTCCTAAATCCCTGCTCATAAGTGCACCAATGAGATCGTTAGAGGCCGGCTAACGTACATGGCACAGTGTATCTGCCCGGTACAAGTACTTCTGACTGAGTGTTATATGATTACAGAAGTAGTAATATCATTAGAAGGGCTAATGTAAATAGCACAGTTTATCTGTTCGGCTTAAGTGATTCTGAGTGTATTAGCAGGATCAAGAAAAGATGAACCAAAGAAAAAACAGACAAGACAACCAGTACAAACTGTCCATGATTCACTTAAAACTGTTTGTAGTTCACAAGGAAACAGCTGATTGGCCACATTAGGGAAGAAAACTACCACAGGATGCACAAGCAGTACTGGTGTAATAGATATATTTGCAAATGCCATAAAGGCCCCAGCCAACTGAATAGGACCAATAAATTGCTAGTTGCAAAAGCACATATCAACCGTGTGTTTGTTAATTCAGCTTGAGAAAAACTTATATCGGCAAGAAGAAAGTTATCTATCTTGCCTGGTAATAAAGTTCTAAAAGATCAGACTCAAATCTCATATAGGCTCATTAATCCATTAAGGTGTAGTTACTTCTGGTTCAACAATCATCAGAAAGGTGCAAACTACAAACGATCTCATAAAAACCGTCTACCTGAAATAGACAGTCCTTCACAGGAGGTATCACAGATGGTGATTTTGAAGCAGTGGTAGTTGCACAATTGATGACAAAACAAGAATACCTATATCTATATGTGCGTGAAACTATGAGCTTTCGGTTAGCATTTAAACCTGCTTCGCGTGAGGATGCTTTGTTCTCTGTGTAACTTGTTCATTCTTGTTTAAAGAAGACGTGAACAAGTAAGATGTACATACTCAAAAAAACCAACTTTTTCATTCTTGTTAAAAGAAGGCATGAGGAATTAAGATGTGCATACTGTAATTGTTCAAGAGAGACAGTCAAGCCTCTGCAGAAGTGCCATAGATGTTGGCTCATTAAATATATACGCTGTAGTTTGGGGACGAAACCTCAAAATTTTGGACTGAATAACTATGAATAAAGGTACGATGGCCTAACAAAACCATAAGATGTATCAAGTGCTGTAGAATTAAAGATGGTCTAAAAGTGTGCTGGATTAGAGTTATGAATCCCCCTAGGTGACATCCAGATCTACGGTGCCCCAAAAGGGGAAAGTATTAAAGCCGGTCGATATGTGTGTCACCAAAGAATGGAATCCGGAGTAACTAGTCTCCAATAAGTATTGAAGGTAGCAAATGAAAGCAGTAAGTATCGTGATGGTGGATTGTGCGAAGTAAGAAATAACTTCCCAAAGCAGCTAAAGCAATAGTGGAGGGATCCTTGTGTATTTTGAGTAGAGTAGGAAGAAAGAGGAATGGGGGGGGGGGGGGGGGGGACGTACGTAGGTGTTGAGCTGCCTGACGAAGGAGGAGAAGTTGCTGTGCTTGAAGTACTTGGGGAGGAGGTCGCGCGCGAACTCGGGGGTGTTCCACACAACGAAGCTGTTGTTCCCGGGGCCCCATGAGACGACGGCATCGGTGGCCGGGTCGTCCACCATCTCGTACGTCTTCATCAGGAACGGCGGCGGCGCGGTCGCCACCCCGTTGCTGACCGCCGCGCCGGGCGGAGGCGCGACCGCCGTCGTCACCGCCCCGGCGGCCGCAGCCGCAGCAGCAACGGCGGCCTCCATGAGGCGATCCGTATGGGGAGGCGTGGTGAGGGTCAGGGGCGCGACAGCGTGAGCATGGGTAGGGTTAGGGGGAGGCGTGGGATCGGGGCCCGTGGGTAGGGGGGGATTTGAGGGTGGGGAATTTGGGATTTGGGTTGCGGGCGGCGCTAGGTTTTTTGGGGGCTCGTCGTCGGCTGCTAGTGGGAAGGAGACGAGACGAGAGAGAGAGACGGCAGGCCGCAGAGAAGAAACCAACCCATCCACAAGAACAACAGGGGATGGGCCTTTTCTTTTCTTTTTTCTCCGACGAGGGTGTTTCTGTAATTTTGCTCTTCTTTGCTTTGCCGCTGCCGCTGCGGCTGCGACTGCGACCTACCTAACGGCGCTGCCCCGTCGCCGTCCTCCACTCCGCCGTAAACATATCTGTATCAATCCTTCCGTTTGTTTGTTCGCACGCCCATGAAAATTATCCCTCCAAATAATCTGATTTTTATCTTAAGAATAACTTTTTATTGTTTTCCTTGCGGTCACCTTTTCTTAATAAAAAAAAACTTTTTTTATAACAAACAACTATTGTAGAAACCAACCTATAATACAAACATGTATGACACCTACACCTAGCTAGACATATGTCATACGATTGATACATTGCATATACGCATGAAAGCGAACTTCAGGCAGGCAGGGGTCATCTCGCCACTATCCTACTTACTCATAGCCTTATCCTACGTATTCTCTCCGTTCCCAAAAAAAATAAATAAATCTTAACACAAACATGTTCGTTTCGTTGTAAATTGTAATATGATATATCAAGGGCATTTTTAGATCCATTTGAAATAGCAAATAGCAAATAGCAAAAGTTTTGGTGGCAAAAGTTTTGGCATTGCAAAAGTACTAGTTGGTGTTTAGATGCATCCTAAACTTTTGCCATTCTAGCACTTTTTAGTGGAGAGAGAGAGGTCCCAAAGCACTTTTTGGCACAATTTGCTACTATGGCCTAGCAAATGGTAAATGGCAAATCGCCAACTTTTGCTACTAGTGTTTAGATCCAAAATAGCAAAAAGTGCTCCAAAATGGCAAAAGGATCTGAACAGGGCCTCACATTTATGCGTAGGTTTGTTTTTGAAATTGATGAAGTACTTACTCCCTTTATCAAAATAAACTAACCTCGTCCAAGACATGAAACATTCTAATACAACGAATCTGGACAGTATGTCTAGATGTGTTCAGATTCGCTATAGTAGAGTGTGTTACATCATGTACGACATTATTTTTTTTATAGAGAGAGGACAACCTTAGCTTAACTATACAGAGAGATAGGACTAGACATGTGATGTGTCTGTCCCGAGAAGATATGTCAGTGGACTTCATCTACCAAAAGCATCCTCCTTTTGAGATTGTGAATTTGGATTCGTCTTTCTTTAATCGAAACACGTTTAGATTCATCCAACCCTATCTGATCCCACTCAAAAAAATTGCTATTGTGCTATCTTCAAACATGGGTTTTGCCACATATGCCATTCTGCATTTTAGCTTCGTTAAATTGCCACTTTCAAATAGATGTTACATGCTATAGTGTCCTTGCCATATGAATGGACGGAAATGCCCCTTGTCCTCTTTTTCTCTTTCAAGGCTTGGACCGTTGTCATCGCGTGCTGCTGGAGAGGGACATAGACATGTGCATTGTATCTAGCCAGCCCGCTGTTGGCACCCCATTGTCGAGCCGCGCGTCGCCCGGCTACACAGCCATGGTTCTTCTAATCTTTATCGCTCCTCCTGCATCAGCGCGACGGCGAAGGCCGTTGAAGAAGGACACGGACGAGGACGAATGTACGACAACGGTGGTTGTAGTTAGGTGGCATGACAGAGGTTTGGCGGGGGAGGGGGGATGAAAGTGGCGGTACATTAAGTTGGTGACAGTGGAGCGTAGGCCGACGTCGGTGAGCCGGGATGGTGAGCATGACGTTTGGTGGCCGCTGGCAAGCACCTCCAACATATGTTAAAGGGAAGGGAGAAGAAGTCTAAGATCATGTTCTTTTCTCCAATAAGAGCTGGATGAAGATTAAGATTTTCATGGCAAACTTTTCAAACTGCTAAACGGTGCGTTTTGTACGAAAACTTTCTATATGAAAGTTGCTCTAAAATATCATATTAATCAATCTCTTAAGTTTGTAATAATTAAAACTCAATAAATCATACGTTAATACCACATCGTTTTGCGTAAAAAAACTTAATCTCCATGTTTATCTTTGAGAGAAAAGAAAAACACCTAAGGGCATTATCGTCTGCGATGATATTCTAGCGCAACACCTAAGGAGTAGTAGATATCAATTGACAGTGGCAATTTAGCAATTTACTCGATCGCCAACTTCATCATCGTCTTCCTTGGCCGCCGCCACATTCTCTTCTTCACTTTACCAATTTCCTTGGGATCAATCAAGGGTCAGTGAGCAGATAGATGGGCATGGCTCACGTCCTCAGCCTCCTCGTCGTCATCCTCGTCGCAATCCCCTCTTCTCGCTCGCACGCCTTGCCGTCCTCCTCATCCCCCTTCGACGCCGCGCTCGCCACGCTCCAGAACCAGATCGCCTACCGCTTCCATGCCCCGGACCTCCTGCGCCGCGCCATGACGCACGCCTCCTACTCCCGCGAGAACGGACGCGCGCTCGCCGTCCTCGGCCTCGCCGCCTCGCAGTCCGCCGCCGCGCTCCGCGCCCTCGCGGCCGACCACGACGCCTCCGCCTCCGCCGTCTCCCGCCGCGCCCGCGACGCGTCCGGGGAGGCCGCCTGCGTCGCGGCCGCGGCCCGCGTCGGCATCCCCTCGATCGTGCGCGTCGCCGCCGGGACCAAACCGACCGCCCCACCCGTCGTTTGCGGCGCCCTCCGCGCCCTCATCGGCGCCGTCGCCGTCGACGCCAACAGCACCCACGCCGCCGAGGAGGTCTTCTGGAAGCTGCACGTGCTCACCGCCGCATCAGCCAAAGCCGCAATGTGATTCACAAATCAGACTGATCGTTAATTTAAATTAGTGCTAATGCTGCTGCCTGCTGCAATATCATCACACTAGATCGTTAAATGTACTCCTACTACTTAGTACTATCAACTAGTAGTATGAACTGTATCAGTTGCTTCTAATTTCCAGTTTGAACTGGAGTATATTAGATTATGTAAGTTGGTATTATGCATCCTAATATCCAGTCCACGAATGTGCATCTGCTTACATACTCGAGTTATTATCTGGAATATATGAGATGAATCATGGAACAAGACTTCATTTTTATCAGCACCTGTAAGCGCTTCAGCATCGGTTTTACAGTGGATGTTCCAAGTTTGCATTTAGCAGCACTTATACACAAAATGGTACGTACCTAACATCAAATAATTTGACAATTTAACTGGAATGCTGTAGAAAGCTCATGTCCAAGCATATTGATGCTCTCACAGGGGACAACTGGACAAGGTTGGCACATATGCAGCAACCAAAGCTAAAATGCAAATATTTCAATCAAAAGCAGAATGAATGATATCAGTGCACGATGTTACAGGGAAAAAACAACATTAATGTCAGTATACATGAGCGCAAACTTTAATTTAAGTAATACAGTACTACGAATTTGTATCAGCCTTGCATTTCAAGATCACTCTTGCATGGGGTTTAACAATGTCAGGAGCTCATTTTGTCCAAAATCTGACTCAACCCCCTTGTACAAAGACAGGATGACAATCTTCAAGTTAAGGATGGTTACTTCTTTGCTTTTTTGCTCCGATGTGTATTTTCAGGAGTTTGAGCATCCAACTTGCGTTTCTTGGCTAGTTGCTTTGCCTTCCTTGCTGCAACAGCAGGGCGCTTGGCTTTTTGAGAACTAGCATCATGTCCTGTCTCACTAGTCCTGCCTTGCTGCTTCCCCTGGTAACTTGGACGCTGGCTCACCTTCGCCTTCTTCACCACACCAGATTTGCTTGCCCTAAGGCCTTGGTATGACAAAGTTGACGCCTTCCGTTTGGTCTTGTCACTGCCTTCATGGGATTTGCTGCTTGGTGTTAAAGCTGTCTTGTGTTTCGATCCACCCTTTGTTTTGCCAGCATCCGTCGTCTTCTTTGGTGTTGCATCAGCTGATTTTGCATGTGCAAGCCTCAGAAGGCGATCTCTAATCTTGAAATCCTGTTTTCTTACGACAGTGTTTGCAGCCTCCTGCATGGCAGATATTAAAATGGTCAGCATAAAAGTGTATGATTGAGTCGTCAACTGGCTATCTTGGTTCTGAATACATAATTCAGCAAGGAAGTCTTTCTGTTATCGTCTTCCTCCAGTACTAGCATTTAATTGTATGGCATGGTTAATGCTACCATCTTCAATAAATGATGTTCAAAATCACGTAGTACATAGTAAAGCCATTTATCGACAAACATATTATACATCAAATGGACTTCTGGGTTTTGACTTATTTAGTGGGTCACACTGCACCAGATGAAATAGGAAGGTAAAAGATTGTACCCTTGTCTTGAACAAAACATAGGCGATACCCTTTCCTAGACTTGTATCTGGATCTCGAACAACACGTATAGCTTCAACATCACCTTCTGAACCACTGGAACCACAGAACTTTTGGTACACCTCTTCATCCTGACATGCCAGTAAAAAAAATAAATCTGACCTTTTCTTCAAAAGAATTACACAGACCATATACAATACTGACCACATGATACTCACCTTTATATCAAACGGAAGATTACCAACAAAAACTGTCCGCTTTCTGTCATAAAGAGGTCCTTCGCCTTTAAGTTTCTTACGAGGTGGACATGCCATATCGACACGGACATGATTGCCATCAAACTAGAAAGTATCAAAATCAAGAAAAACTATCTTATCAGGCACAACATAGAAGTTTTTGAATTATATACCAGATATATAAACTAATCATGTTTTCAGTTCTAAGAAAGCCAACTCACCAGGGCCATATTATGAGATAAAGCAGCACGTGCACCCTGCTCATCTTTGAACACAATATAGGCATGTACACTGCAAAGGGTGAAAAGGTACAGACAAAATGAGTCTGAGAAACATTAGGCAAACAATACATTTGACATATGCAGCTGCTCAGCACAATCAATTACATTTTACAATCAATATATAGTCCTTGTGCATTGATGGGCGTCTAATAACTGGGATATATATTGAATATCAGAGTTGATGGCATCAGATCATGAAAAATACGAAATATCAACAAAATGCTCTTAAAGGAACTATACGAAGCACGCGCCTTTTTGGTCTTAGTACACCATTATATATTTGGGTAATCATGTCACTTATCTCCTCCTTTGCTTCAAACAGCACAGAAGGTAGAAACCAAAATGACAAAGTAAAGGGCTGTGGTGATTTTAGTTGATCGAGGAAAGTATTCCATGCACGCAGAAATAATTACATAGGCACATCAGTAAAAAAACAAAGCACGCGCTATTAGAAACAAACTGCAGAATATTGACTCCTAAGCTACACCAAAGTTGTTTGTTATATCACTAAATAAAAGTTGTGCCACAATCAACACTGTTGAGATTCAGAAGTTTCCTATACTACATTCAACTAGCAATCCAAATAGGACAGATAACTTGTATATATCAAGACAGTAGTTAAAGGAAAACACTTTAAGGTGAAATGTGGTAAAAAAAGAGAGTGAAAAAACAGGGCATTTAACCATGTATAACAAATGGTAGAGAACTTAATAAATGTTCAGGGCATAGAAGCGAATTGTAAAGCTATAACTAATGGGGAGGAGATAGGATAGGAAAAGAAAGAAGTGTGAGCAAGCCCATTTCAATCGGTGTTTCAATGCTAATGTCCTAATTGCAACCAGCTGTAATCTGTTCATATGTAATCCATTTGAAATTGCAAGCATAAAGGATAGGGGAAAAAATGCATTTCGTAGCTATCTCTGCCATCTATTTAAGCAATGGCATAAACAATCGTAGTTGATACTAGACAGGCAAGAATGCACTCACTTGTCGACAGAATCATTGATTTTTCCTTTTATGACGGCTCCTTTCCTTGGAATCTTGGTCTGCAGCAAAGCACAAATCAGCACAGATAAGCATGAGGAGGACGAAGATGAAGACGAAGCACAGGGCAATGGTGCTCACGTCGGTGAGTGGCACGGAGCGTATCCTGACGGACTCGATCTCGCCGAACGCCGCAAACTCCTTGGTGAGCGCCTTCCTCTTGGTCTTGAGCGGCAGGTTCCCCACGAAGACCGTCCTCAGCAGCTTGCTCTCGTCGTCGAACGCCTCCTCCTCCTCTTGCCCTGCCCCCGCCGCCGCAGCCACCTCTTCGGGCACCTTCCTCTTCTCCCCGACGACCGGAAGAGGAGGCGCGGGTGCGCCGCCGAGCCTCCGCCGCTCGTGGCCGGCCTCGACCTCGTCCCGCTTCCTCTTGCGCCGGGGCTCATCCCTGCGCGACTTCGCGGACGGCTCAGCGACCTCGGGTTCGGGGTGCTTGCCTCGGGGCGCCGCGGCGGTGGGCGCCGGTGGAGCGGGCTGGTCGTCGGAGGGCTTGCGGCGGAAGGGGTTGTCTGCGGAGAAGAGGGTGCGGATGGCCGCGGCGTCGTCGGACGCGGGCTCCTTGTTCTTCTTCGCCATTCTCGCCGCCGGTGCGAGGCGACGGCGAGACGGTTTGCGGCGGCGGCGGTGGGGTTGGGATTCGGAGGCGGAGGGGGAAACTCTTTTGTTGCGGGGTTTCGCCTAGTTGGAACTCGCCCCAGAATAGGGGACAGGCTGGGGCGATCTCGACCGTTGGATTCAGATCGAACGGCTAGGATTTGTCTGTATCCTTGGCACGAGCCGCGGTGGCATGGTAGAACAAGGGGAGGACAGGAGGAGGAGGGGGTTTTCTAGGGTTTCTGGAGTTCGACGACCGCCGCCGCCGTCACGCTGGTTCCCATCGCCGAAGGAGAGAGGATGGAGGAGAGCCGCGCGGACGGGCGGAACCCGAACCAGCTCCGCCCCTTCTCCTGCACACGCAACCCTCTCGACCGCGCCCATGGCTCCGCGCGGTGGGCTCAGGGGGACACCATCGTGCTCGCCGCCGTGTACGGGCCAAAGCCGGGAACCAGGAAGGGGGAGAATCCCGAGAAGGCATCCATTGAGGTCGTCTGGAAGCCCATGACCGGCCAGATTGGTAACTACTCTCCTCTCCACGCTTGCTATCGCTGCTCGCCCAATTGAATCGCTCAAATGGTGTGCTATTTTTATTTTTTATTTTTTATTTGCAGGGAAGCAAGAGAAGGAGTATGAGATGACGCTCAAGAGGACATTGCAGAGCATTTGCCTGCTCACTGTTCATCCAAACACCACCACCTCTGTCATTCTTCAGGTATAAGATCTACTCCCTTCCCATGCTGCTATGGCTATTGCTTTGCATTTGTTTTGTTCTACCTATACTTATTGACAAATTGTGTTAGAATCATTGCTCTTGTGTTGTGCCACGCAAGTTGACTGTCTGTACTCTCTTGTCCCTGCTTTAAGGACGCTGATTGCTACAAAATCTTCATTGAGTTTGCTTACTGATTCAAGCTTGCTATATTATTGCTGACTTATTGTCAAACTTCATTTTCTTAGCGTGCCATATCAAGCGTACTTTAGGTTTAGTGCATCATGCCACTGCCTTATATCGTTTTGCCTTTAATTTAGTTATCCTTTTGTTTGCAGGTTGTGGGCAATGATGGTTCTGTATCCTTTTGCCGTAATGTACTACTTAGTATTGTTTCTGGGTGCCTTTTGGATTATGAACATTGTACTTGATATAGGAATGATTTCAGATTTTTGGCTACTAGCTGCAGTAGATTGGCATTTGAATTTAATTTCCTGTATCTCTGTGAATCTCATAAGCTAACTGCTAATTTCAGCTGGTTGTCTACAGTTAGGATAAGTGGTTCGTTGTTTTATTCCTGAATTCTTTGCCTCGCAAAATGTTTGTTTTGGCCGGCTAATATAACTGACTTGTGATGAGAAAATGCCAAGTATTGATGGAAGTCCCTGGTTCCATGCTTTTTCTGAGTAGTCTTCCAATCAACATACTGTATACAGCGTGCTTTATATGAATGGGCATGGCCTGCTATAGCAGATATCAACATGTAGTATGTTCTTTGTAATATTCACAGATTCTTAGTATTTCGGTCTTCAAGATTTCAATCAAGCACAATCCTTGACTAAGTCTAGCTTCTTCCATGTGCAATTAATGCTTGCTGCGCAGCCCTTGTTTTTGCTGGCATCCCCTTGAAACATCTTGCAGGTAAGTTAGTAATCTTTGTATGCTCATTGATGAAATATATCTCATAAGCTTTTGTGATGCAGTTGCAATTGGTTGTGGAGTACTGGAGGATGGTGAAGTGATTTTGGACACAAACAAAGCAGAAGAGCAGGTAGAAATTTCTCGTTTTGATTAAGTCCTCTGCACTAGGAAAGGAAAGAACGAATTTTTATCTCGTTTCTTCCCTAAAAAACATCTTAGAACTATTGGTTCATAATTCGCTCTTTAAACTTGTGGACAACAAGTACATTTTTAATCCCTCTACTCTGTGGAAAGTTATCATATTGGTTTCTAGGTGGGTCTAGTTGTCAGGTATCATCTTCTGAAATGTTATGTTGATTGTGTATAGTCTTAACTGTTGAAAATCTAAATAAGTTAATGCTGAGAACATCTTTAGGAGTGCATATGCATTAATGTTACTGTTTGCTGTCATCTGCAGCAATTGAAATCATTTGCTCATTTGGTGTTCCCCAATTCACGCAAGTCTGCTAGTTCAAAAGAACCAAACCAGAAAGAGGAGGATTCTGAGAGAGGATTGATAACTTCCATTACCCATGGAGTGATGTCCGGTATGGTTATATCTTGTGCCTCAGCTTGATGTGTTCTTCTGGACATTATAGATATAGGGATGCATATATTGTGGCTCTAAACATGTCCCCTTTCTGTCTCATGTAAAGAGGAAGATTATTTCAGCTGCATAGAGAGGGGCCTTGCTGCATCGTCACGGATCTCGGATTTTATGAGGACAACATTGCAGAAGCAGGCACCTGGAGATGTCTGAGAGGAGGCAATCATGCGATAGAAAACGCCTCAACATTGCAGAAGCACAAGGTTGTAGCAGCTCATGTTTTGAATATGAAACGCGTGGGGACTCTTGGTGCATTATTGATGTTTGAAATTGGCTCATAGATGTGCATGGATGGTGGAGCGATCCGGCAGGAAATATGTAGCGCCTTGTTCGCATTTTTTGTGAATGTTGAGCTGCTTTGGTAGTGACTAGTGAGTTCGTTTGTAGTACTAGTAGCGAGGGAACTGTCGTTTGTTTAGATGAGCAAGGAAGAAATGCCTTTTTGTAACTCAGGAAGAAGTCAAAGCAGTTGTGTAACAAACCACTTTGCCATGTTGCTGCACATTTTTGGTCGCCCTGTTTATGATGAAGGTGAGCAATACATGAGAGGAAGAATTCATCGCTTTTAGTTGATTCAAATCACAGTTTTATAATGGAATATGTTTAGGATTAGGAAAGAAACAAGTGTGTGAGAATATGATTATTATTCCACGGTATTCACAGTGCTGAATCCTAGTACTACTACATCTGTCCTAAAATGTTGCTACACACATCCTAGGATAACGAATCTGGATAGACCTCCCATCCTCTGTCCAGATTCGTTGTTTTAAGATGGGTAGGTAGCAACATTTTGGGACGGAAGGAGTAGCTGGTAGGAGCAGTGATAGTAGTGATGAGTTGGAAGGTGCATGGTTGATGAGAGAGAGACGGGTAGAGAGGCAAAGGACGAAAGCAGAAGAGTGAAGTTTGGTAGCGGGTCTTGGAATCGCACCGACTGGGATCTATGATGAGGCGGCACGGCAGGTCATCCATCCATTCATCCAGGTTAGTTGTTGATGCCTCGTCCAAGGCAGCTAGCAGGAGTACGACATTATCATGAATGAATACCTAAAAATAGCGTGAGGCTGTGTGTTGCACAGTGCATATGTGCTGGCTGGCTTGTTTTTACTGTGCTTCATTTTTAGCGAGGGGCGGTGAATGGAGGCAAATAATAATTAAGGTGGTGGTGGTCAAAAAAAGTAAAGGGGGAAACGCTCGCGAGGAGGGTCAGGGAGGGAGACTAGGAGTCAGCCTGGCGTTGCTAGTGTTGAAGGCCAGCCAGGGAAGAAGAAACCATTGATAATTTGACATTCACAAAGAAGGGAAGGAAGGAAGGTTCCTTCGGCTTGGTTGCCTTTGCCTGACGGTGAATTGGGTTGGGTTGCGTCGCGTTGCGCGCACGGTCGTCGGCTCGCGCTCCGCCTAATTGGTTGACGTTGCTCTCCTCGCTGGTGGTATTGTATATAGCGAGCCCTACCTACTCCACAAAAAGAGTCCTCTCCTCTCCTCTCCTCTCCCTTGCCACCACCAAACTGCAATTAATTGTTTGTTTCGCAAAACAAGCATCCTCGCCTCGGCGTCCCAGATCTCTGCTGCTGGGCTGGGCTGCCTGCCTGACAAGAGAGGCAGCAGCCATGGCGTTCGACGCCTTCACCGACAAGAACGCCGTCTTCCGCCGCCTCAAGGCCAAGCCCGAGAACAAGGTAACTTCCTCCTCTCAGATCTTCTTCTTCTTCTTCTTCGCCTCAAGAGTCAGATCTCATGTACTAGTATTGTCGTGTGCTTGTTAATTTCCCAGATGTGCTTCGACTGCAGCGCCAAGAACCCCACCTGGGCCTCCGTCACCTACGGCATCTTCCTCTGCCTCGACTGCTCCGCCGTCCACCGCAGCCTCGGCGTCCACATCACCTTCGTCAGGTTTCTTTCTACCCCCCCTTCCCATCCCGATCCACGCCCCCTCCCCTCACAAGATCTGCAATCCGCCCACGCCATCACATCCGATTCCTTTCCTCATCTTTCCATCACCAACCAACTCTAAGCCCATCACGACTCCTAGGAACTAGCGCAGACCAGCTCAACGATCTCAATAATACTTCCCTTTTTCTTCTTTACCCCCCAAAAAAGGGATATGGTACAGCGCATAGGTGCCTGTGGTTGCTGGGTTTGGTGGATCTGGCCGAGCCTTTCATCAAAAAGAAAAAAAAAAGGTCCTATTTTTGGTACAGCCCATCTGGTGGGGAATGCAGCCGGAGATCTAGGTTCTTGGGCCATCAACGTCAATACCTGCTTTACACCTTCATCCCATCGGCATTTGCATTCACAAGTTACACATTTTGGTCTAACAGATCCATATGCGCATTCACAGTAAATCACCTACTACTTCGTTATATTTTTCTGCAATGAACATATTGAACTTCATTGCTGGCTGCTATATCTATGATCACTACTATGGCTATGCTACATTGCTACCCATCTCATGATGCTGCACGTTTGTCTTATTGTGTTGTTTCTACCACACAAAAAAAAAAATCATAAAATGCCTTGCTTTGATACTCCGCAAAAGTACTAGTATTGTGCCTGCCAAATGTCAAAACTGTACCCATTTTATTTTCACTTTCTCTTATACAATCCGTATGTATTTTCTATAGGTCAACAAACCTAGATTCATGGACTCCAGATCAACTGAAGATGATGGCTTTTGGAGGCAACAATCGTGCCCATGCTTTCTTTAAACAGCACGGGTGGACAGATGGTGGCAAGGTCGACGCAAAGTACACGTCAAGGGCTGCTGAGCTGTACAGGCAGATACTGCAAAAGGAAGTTGCCAAGAGTTCTGCTGATAACGTCTTGCCATCGTCGCCAGTTGCAGCGTCTCAACCACAAAATCCATCCGATGACTTCCCTGAGTTCAAGCTACCAGAGGCACCAGCAGAGAATACCAATGGGAAGCAGGAACCTGATGTCACCAATTCGCAAAAAGCACCTACGCAGACACCAAAAGCCCCTACTCATCCCACTTTTGCCACTTCTGTAAAGAAGTCCATTGGTGCGAAGAAGATTGGAGGCAAGACTGGAGGGCTTGGTGTTAAAAAGCTCACCACAAAGGTAACACTGTGGATCATTAGCGCTATGTATGCATGTGTTTGGTTCCTTCCCACAGTTAATATTTAATATACCTCCTCTCTTCTATCTATATGATGTGAACATTAAGGACTGACCTTTGCCTTTATGTTGCAGCCAAGTGAAAGCCTGTATGATCAGAAACCTGAAGAGCCAAAACCTGCTGCCCCAGTAATGACTACTTCCACCACAAAAAGTGGCCCGTCCTTGCATTCACGTTTTGAATATGTGGAGAATGAGCCAGCAGTTGATTCAAGAAATGGAGGAACTCAAATGACTGGCCACGTAGCACCACCAAAATCATCAAACTTCTTTCAAGAGTACGGAATGGATAATGGGTTCCAAAAGAAAACAAGCACAGCTGCCACAAAGACCCAGGTAAATATTGAACCAATGTTTGTGCTATGTCAATAAGTAAATAATAAATAGATTGACTTTTCTGATCAATACATAAGTTTGCAAAGTTTACTTTCTATGATAATGTAAACACTGCACTAGATTTTGCTGCATCCACTAGCTTGACTTGTTTTGATTTCATGATGTCATTTCCCCTTCCTTTATTTGCTGCATGCTTGCATTCTGCTGTTTAATCATCAGTGAACATCTACAAATTTCACAGAATAATTACCTTTTGAACTTTGGAAAAGTCAGTTCTCTCTATGCAAGCTGTTGTTATTGCTAGCATGTTCTTATTATATCAAATAGTTTTCCGCTTGTAGATTTTTGTTATGTTAATAAGTACTGACACTGGACGTGAATACCTTTCAGATTCAGGAGACTGACGAAGCAAGGAAAAAATTCTCTAATGCAAAGGCAATTTCATCATCTCAGTTTTTTGGCAATCAAAGCAGAGAAGAGAAAGACGCTCAAATGTCCCTTCAAAAGTTTGCGGTGCGTATTAGTTTAGCATCTCTTTGTCCGAGGACCATTACATTGCATCTCCTTCGAACTTGTCGAAGCATTCTTAACTTCATTCCAGACTTGAAATTTCTTGTCTATTGTTTATGTTTGTGCTAGTACTTCATTTGAATATTCTGTAGAAGTTTGCATCTTTTTTTTCCCTTACGGTTCTCCTTTTTTTTCCCCCTTTAATTCAGGGTTCTTCGTCCATTTCAAGTGCTGATCTTTTTGGCCGCCGCGACATGGATGACTCGAATCTGGATTTAAGTGCTGCGGATCTCATCAACAGAATATCATTCCAGGTAGTTATTCTGTAAATAATTGCCAGCCTTTTGTCACCTCTTGCATATTTAGTTTTTAAGCAACCGAGCATGCAAATCATTACTACACTGAGTTACTACTGAATTATTCAGTACAAAGATTGATCCTTGAAACGCACAAATATCTTACCTGCTGGGATTGTTGTGCAGGCATCTCAAGATCTGTCTTCCCTCAAGAATATGGCTGGAGAAACTGGAAAGAAGCTGACATCTATAGCCTCCAATTTTATCAGCGACCTCGACAGAATCCTTTGAGTGGTTGATGGGGCGAGATCATTAGCATTTTTTGTTTTGGCAAACCTGCACAGAATACCGTATTGAGTTTAAAATGTGGTGCAGCTCAGAGAAGCATTTGTTGCACAGCTATGTAGATGAAAGTAGAGGATTGGCAATTATGCGTCTGTATTCTTTTTTCCTTTTTTACTATTGTTGGAACCCTGTCCGCATGAAGATATTTTTATTCGTTTCTTGACAAGATTGAAACATACGATGGTATTCATTCCAGTTAGTGGTATAGCTGGGAAGAAAAGGTATACTTTGATGTGCCTGTGCTAAATGGAACCAGTCATGTTATTTCTTATTTCTCACAGTGATCTGTGCCACTGCCAGTTAGAGTTCATCTTCCTATTATAAGCAGATAAGCTATTGCAAACTGGCTGGTTGTTCCTTTTACTGACGTCTCTGTCGATAGCTTAAATGTTACAGGTTTATTATAATGCAATCTTGCAGGGTGGAAAAAAACTGTTAATTTGTGAAGGCAAGATTCAGCTAACCGTGTATGGAAACTGACCAAATACTGGCAGTCGAGTATGATAGATTCAGCTTATCGTGGGAAAAATGGTACTTTGCGAACAGCCGTCTGTCGACATCATATTATATATTGCAATGGCTTGTTTTGCTGTGATTTTGAGCCACCAATGATAAACACAATGCAAGTTGCTGTCTTGCCGGGTGTATCGTTGTAGCAGAGCCGTTCAAAGTGACGTGGACTCCAGGCGGTGCCACGCAAGACTGTTATTTTGTCTCCTCTCTTTTCTCCACTTTTTCGTCGTCAAAAATGCTGGAACGTCAAGGCCCGCCCGTTGTGCAAATGGTTGACAGTGACACTGACAGTAACAGATTCTTGATGTAATCGCATTAGAAGAATCTTGCACAAAGCAAATTCTCTTTGTTCTTGTGTTGTGTTTGTGGCTTGTTATTCTAAGCGAGTGACGGGAGCATCTGTGCTGCCTTTGCCAATTTGCAATCCACGCAAGGCTCGTCTTTAGATTCATTCGTTCATTTTATTTCCGAGTCAACTAAGATATCGTGTATTGTCTGAACGATTCAAGGCAGCTGTAATTAATTAAGATGACAGAAAATTCAGAGCAGAGCAGGTTATCTTGAACACATCAATTATTGTGACCAGAAAATTATGGTTTTGAATTTGCGTCCCCTACAACCAAATTCAGGATGGTTGTGTTATCTTTGGGTTGAAGAAGAGTTTTTGTCCTCAACATTTTCCAGCTAGGAGCCGGCATACCACAGTAAAAGTTGAAGCCTTGATCGAGATAACTGATGAACAGGCGGCCGGCAAATTTCACAGCCAATGATCAGTGAGTCTAATGGAAAATCATTCTATTTTATTACAGGAAGATGGCTGATTTTACCCCCACACAAACGGATGTGATACTACAGATCACGCGATCAGCGATAGCCTGATATGGCGATCTGGTAGGTTAGGTAGCACGCGTGATCATCCATTCATCACAAGAGATTGTCACATGGCCCATGCACGCTATCGCACAAATAGGAGGAGTGATTGCAAAGAGAAGAAAAATAGATTAAGAAAAGAAAAGAGATTAATTGATGGGTTCTACGATGACTGCGATGAGACGAACACCCGAATCTGCTCCAGGAAGGTGAGCTGCTGCGGCCGATCCTTGCGGCGGATGTAGCCGTCGGCGACGGCCGGCGAGTACTCCGGGTACCCCTTCTTGCCGCTGCGCGCCCACAGGTCGTCGGCGTAGCCGCGGTGCGCGTAGTAGGCGACGGCGTCGACCTGGGCGCCCTCGGCGAGGAGGACGGAGATGGGGAGGCGCTCGTAGTGCGCGCGGGAGACGCCCTCCAGCTCGTCGAGGCGGTCGAGCCCGCGCGGCGTGACGGCGTAGAGCTCGCCGGAGACGCGGTGTCCGGCGCCGGGGAGGTTGAGGAGGAAGGGGACGCGGTAGGGCCCGCAGACGAGCGGGAGGCGCGGCGCGGTGGTGGCGGCGCCCACGAAGGAGGCGTCGCCGTCCCGGGCCAGGTCCTGGAGGAGGCCGTGGTTGGAGAAGCCCCTCTTCAGCGTGCCGTACGTGAACACCAGCGTCCGTGGAGCCGCCGCCCTCTTCGCCTCCGGCGCCGCCGGTGGCTGCTCCGCCGCGTCGCCCGCCGCCGTGCCCATGCGCGATTCAATCGCGGCGAGCTCGAGTCGAGCTTTTCTTTCTTTGGTTGGTTGGTTGGTGTTTTGAGGCTTGGGTCGGCTTATTTATCGAGAGAGGTGGGCCCGCTTCGTCGATGTCGCGTGGGCCCAGCCTCTCACATTTGTCGCATTAGCCTTCCAGCCCATTAACAATATGGGCTGCACGGAGCTCGACTCACCTTGCGGCCCAACAAACAGGGCCTTGATGCATGGGCCTCGTTCTACTTCCATTGGAGAAGGCAAGCCTCTCCTCCCTCTCCGAACCAGCCGCCGCCGCCGCCGCCGCCGACTGCTCGGCGATCATGGTCGGCGACCGAAAGCGCCCGGCTCCCTTCGCCGGATTCTCCCCGTTCGCTCGCTCCCTCCTCTTCTCCGCCTCCTCCTCTAAACCACTACCTCCCCCCGAGGATCCACCCGCCGCCGCCGCCGACGAAATCCCTTCAGGTACGCGTGCTTACACTTAATTGGCAACGCCGTCGCCGGGGCCTCGCTACCTCCTTCTCACGCCTCGCCGCTCTCCAGGAATCGCCGGCTCCAGTCGCGATATGCCGCCGCCCAAGCGCGCCAAGCGGGCCGAGCCTTCCAGCGACGAGGAGCGCTACAGCAGTGACGACGAGAGCTACAGCAGCGACTCCGACGACAGCGACGACGCGTCGGAGGAGGTGAGTGCCTACCTCTACCTTGGTTCTAGCCTCTCTGGAGTTCCTACTCATCGATTGATGCGAGTTGCTCTTCGGATTGGTGCTCCTAGCTCGATACGGTGCAAGCGGACTTCGCCTTCTACGACCCCAAGCCCGGCGACTTCCATGGCGTCAAGCTGCTGCTCAAGACCTACCTCGACTCCAAGCCGTGGGATCTCACTGGCTTCGTCGACCTCATCCTTGAGCAGACCACGGTGGGTACGGTTGTCAAGATTGCTGACGATGAAGAGGATGGTGAAGGAAATGGTGCTGATGGAAGCAGCACTGGTGGCAATGACGATCTGTTTGGTCTCATTAGCGTGCTTAATCTTGGAAGATACAGTGTATGTTCAACCTACTCACTGCTTCATCCACAAGATACATAGGTCTTGCTGCACTGGTGGCTTCTGATTAATCAACTTGCTGGTGTTGTCTTGTAGGAGCACCGCTGTATGAAGGATCTTAAGGATTACCTGCTTGCTGTTTGTGGTGACAAGGATACCAAGAAGAAGCTCAAGCAAATGCTGGGGGACAAAGCACCTGATGTGGGTCTGCTTGTGTGCCGCCGTTTTGTGAATTTCCCATATGAACTTGTGCCCAAGATGTATGAATCGTTATTTGACGAAGTTTCATGGGCCACAGAAGACGAGGTTTGTCAAGCACCTTCTTTTATGAACGTCGAGCTCAGATAGTGTGAAACACATTCTTTTCTCTACTTTCTTATAACGTGTTTTCAACTGTCCTCGCATATCTGAAGCCAACACAAGAACTCCGGGACTCCTTCCGGTTCAAGCAGTACCTAATGGTTGTCAGAGTACTTGAGGTGAGCAATGCAATTTGTTTCCATGTTTGTTTTGCCCATTGATATTCAAAGCGACTTGTTTTGTTGCTCAGTATTTCCGTGTAAGATGTTGTATAGATCATTTTTCAAGTGTAATTGTGCTCTGTATATGAAAGTTCCTGTCTTGTTGTAACTGCTTCAGCTGTATGAATAACACGTCTTTGCCATCTGGTGTAGAGGAAAACTCCAGCAAAGCAAAAGGCAAAGAACAGTACAGAAGAGGATGAGCCTATTATCTATCCTAAGTTAGAAGACGAAATTTTTCGCGAGGTATCAAGCAGGACATGCTACTGACAATCTGAGATTAATTTTTCTTTGTGCAGTTCTGTTTGATGTGGTAACAAAACTTTCTTCCTCAGCTTTCTTCATGGTCGTTCACTTTCCCAATACGTTCTGAACAATCGGCTCAGCAAGAGGTTAGTTGTGTATAAGTACTTCAGGCTTTATTATGCTGTTCTTTTATTCATATTTTCATAGTTACTTTCAGCATCTGGAACTGGTTCACTTGTGGCACTGGCACTACAAATTTCCTTTGGTACCTGGATTGATATTGTTATCTTTTGGACATCTGTTTGACTATTCGTTTTAATAAATATGTAAGTATCATTTATTTTGTTTTATAATTAAAAATACTTTAAGCACGAGTTTTTACATATTTGCATAATTTTTTTGATAAAACAAATAGTCAAACATATGTCCAAAAAATCAACAAACGCTGTATATTTAGGAACAGAGGTAGTAGTAGCCAAATGACCAAATCCCAATCATGTGAAGTAGGAACATTCGTTCCTTTGTGTTATGCTTTCGTTATATCTTTCTTCTTCTGATGATCATTAGCTCACCATTTCAAGCAGAATCTGAACATGCATCATTCTAAGTTTGATGTTGTGTACACCTAAATTGAATGGACTCCCTGTCTACCCTTTCAGATGAAGAATTACAAGGAGATGGGCTTAGTGATGGCCGTCAAAGCTGAAGCAATTCCGAAGTTCCGAAAGAAGTTGGAGGATCTACTATCTGAATAGTTCTCTCCACGCATTGTAGGTCGTGTGGAATTTTGCTGCTGTCCACATGATATTGGAACCTCCATATCTTCTCTTGCTATTGCTTGTTAGTGTCCCTAGTAAGCGCGGACGCTAAGTTTGTGAGTGCAAAGCCCTAATTGAATTGCTAGCATTGCCATAGTAGAAGAGAAATTCATGTGTAAGAGGAAATCAATTATGAACTTCCCTTATACTGATATCAAGAGATTTTGAAGGACTTTTTTGGTTGCTCGAAGACATGGTCTTTCTCAGCCCATACGCACCACATTTTAGCTGGGAGTTTGTTTGATCGATATACATCACACTGTGGTCAAAGTCAACTGTCTATGATTGTTTTTGCCATGAGGTAGAAACGTGTGACGAAACTGTGCCCTGTGCATAACAACCGCATCTCTTCTGAAGGCATAGGCATCTGCGTCCTTAAGGTCAGAGGACATTAGTCATGCCTTGCAAAGTCTCTGAAAACATGGATAGCTGAACAAAAACAACCAGCGACCAATCGCTCGGTGTTCCAGATGAAATTTGAACAATGGTTGCAAATATATCATATCTCTAAGCCAAAACAAGAGCATCACGTAATTAAACTGCCAAGCACACACGGGCGTGTAGCATTGCAACATCATAAACAACAGAATGTTGGGAGGTGTCCTAAGCAAAAGTCACCGCTACTTATTAAGAACAGTCAGCACGCCATCTCAGTGTCTTAACTAAAATCGTAGTATGACACCAGCATTTACTGATTTCCACATGGATTTAAAGGAACGCTAATAACATAGTATACTACTTCTTCTGGAAGTATTAGCAGGGAGGTATCACAATAAAAATGTAAACTGCCAACAAATGATCATGAACGCGAGTGCAGCCATGAGGTCATTGGGCAACCTTCAATCACAAGTTCTTGAATGCAGACTCATTAGGGTGCTTGGGAGTAAGCCTCGCCAACAAAGCCTTGTTCGGGAAGTGCTCGGCATCAACAAAATAGAAGTTCCCTTCAGCCCTAAAAGTGACAAAAGGTCTGTTGGTCTCTGGAGGCCTGACATCAGCAAACTTGATTGTCCTTGTGAGGGGTGTAGCCAGCCATGACATAATCTCTGCTTCAAAGCTATCTGAACCTGGTCGCCACCTGAGCTTGTGAATGTACGGGCTCACAAACCAGTGTAAGGCTGCCGTTGTGGTAGCACTGAGGAAAATGACAGTGGATGCAACAGCGCCCTTGAGGATTACATTCATATCTGGGGATGTCATGAATGTTATCACAGGGCCAAGCGACACAGAGAGACAGCAGGTGGACAGAGAAAGAAGCTTCACTTTTCTTATGGTCGATGATATAGGTCCCTGGTAAACTAGCCTGTCATCTTTGTCATCTTCCTTGATCTGCTTGGATTTTGGCCCAATGCTTATCTTGCTGCCACTATTTTCAGTTTCTTTAACAGCAGCAGCTTGAGAAGCCCATCTTGCCTGACTGTACAAACAAGTGACTGAACCAAGGCCATCAAGTTTTGGAAGAGGATTAGGCTTGAATGTTGAGAAATGCTTCCATGCAATACATCCAGGAGCCTGAAGATCTGATAATGTAAAGGACAGTTAGCTGACTTTAATCGGATTTTTGACACCTATAAAAAAAATAAGAATGCAAATCTATATACTTCGGCTATCCAAGATAATGGTTCAGAAACCATTAAGTTAGCAAAGGAGCATGTTGCTTTCAGAAAGGAAGATCATTACGCTATTAAGCATTTTGAGGTAACATACAGTGGTAAATTGGACTTCAACCATGCGCCCTGTTGAATTACTATAACACATCTTCCTAACAAATGCACCTCAATACAGTACAATTAGACACATGTAACTGGCAAAACTAAATCATGTGAAACCGAAAGAGGTATTGGGGGCTCACGAGAGTAATATGTAGAGAATAGCAGATAATAAATCATGAAATTCAAGGTAGAAGCTTGAATCCACAGATTATGTTGGATTGTGGGTGGAGTTAGAAAAAATCATCCCTGAAATAGATGTGGAGGACTGTCATTTAAACTACCTTTTCATTGACACATGCACTCTCACCGAAGTCTAACCACCAACTACAATCTAACTTGGAAATTCCGAGATTACTCACAACATAGAAGAACATATAGCTAGTCAGTCAGATAACATTAGCACTACATAGAGGGCACAGCACCTCCAGGAGCCCAGGACCTAATCAAACTAGAACCGAACTTGTGCACCATGGAATCGTATGCCCGTTCTCACAACAATTTCGCAGCTCATAGCTGGGCACTACCACGCGGATCAGATTTAACTATGGAGAGAACCACGGGGGGAGAGATTCGAAGCATGAGGCGAACCTGAGACGCGGGAGAAAACTTGCGGCGGCGAGGTGGTTCCCACGGAGCAGTGGCGGAGGAGGACCCCGCGGAGGGAGGAGGCGGATCGGAGCCTCGCCGTCGCCATGGTCTCCTTCCGATCGAGGCGGGGATTTGCTAGGGTTTTTCCGAAGGGATGGAGGAGAGGCCAAGAGGAGACGAAGCGGAGCGGGCCTAAACTTACACCACATGGGCCGATATGGGCCAGGCCTTAGCTGGGAGGCGGTTTCTTATTGGATCCGGATCCAGAAACCTCTTCGCCTTCCTCCCATCTTTCTCTCTCTTTGCACGCGGATCTCCACACTCCGCACCGCCGGAACCCTAGCCGCCGCCCGTCGCCGCCGGTGAGATTCCCTTCTTCTCTTACCTGATTATTACCTCACTACTCGAACCCAAGGTTTTTTCTAGGCACAAACCCTAATAGAGTTCCCCAAACTAGGCAGATTTTTTTTACCCCTGGTCGCCGCTCCGTCGTGGCGAGCGGGCGGGATGAGCAGCCACCGGAAGAACTTCCGCCGCCGCACGGACGACGCCGAGGACGCCTACGGGGACGACTCGAGCAACTCCAAGCCCACAGCCACCAAGACCCAAACCCCTCCCGTTCCCAAGCCCAGGTCGCCGAGACGTCAGGGCGCGAGCCGCCTCAGCTTCGTCGAGGACGAGGACGACGATGACGCCGAGGAGGGACCTTTGTCGCAGCGCCGCCGCCCGGCTGCTACGGTCCGGCAGGCCCGCACGGCATCGCCAGCTGCGGCGACTCTCCACCGCCTCACGCCCGCCAGGGACCGCCTCAAGAGCTCTACGGCCGTGGCAGCGGCGGTTCCCGCGCCGAAGCCGTCCAACTTCCAGTCGCATGCTGGAGAGTACACGCCGGAGCGCCTCCGTGAGCTCCAGAAGAACGCCCGCCCACTCCCTGGGAGCCTCATGCGTGCACCGCCGCCCCCTCCCCCTCCAACCGCTGAAGCCCCACGACAGCGTTTGCCTGGAGCTGCCGCCAGTCCTGCTCCTGCTACAAACACCACTGCTGCTGCTGTAGAGCCCGTGGTGATTCTCAAAGGTCTGGTAAAACCTATGTCACAAGCTAGCATTGGACCAAGGAATCCATCGCAGAACGAGGACAAAGACGAAGATGAGTCAGAGGAAGAGGAGGAGGAGGAAGAAGGACCAGTCATACCTGACCGCGCAACAATTGAAGCTATCCGAGCAAAGCGGCAGCAGCTTCAACAGCCGAGGCATGCAGCACCGGATTACATCTCCCTTGATGGAGGTGGTGTGCTTAGCAGTCGTGAAGCTGCTGGTGGATCCAGCGACGAGGATGATGATGAGACACGCGGCCGTATTGCAATGTACGCTGAGAAGTCAGATAGCCAGAGGAGCACGAAAGGTGTATTTGGCGTGATCAATAATAGAGGTCCTGCTGCCAGTTTGGGGGTTATCAATGATGGTTTCAGGGAGGTTGAGGATGAAAAGGATGACGATGAGGATGAGGAAGAGAGGAAATGGGAGGAGGAGCAGTTCAGGAAGGGGCTTGGTAGGAGGGTGGATGATGCTTCTGCTCAGAGAGCAGCGAATGGTGGACCAGCTCCTGTGCAGGTCCAGCCGCAACCATCCGGATACTCAATCGATCCCCGTTACCAGCCTTCCTTTAGCGGGGTTTTGCCTGGGACTTCTATTTTTGCATCTGGGAGTGCAGAGTTCCTGTCAATCGCTCAACAAGCTGATGTAGCAAGCAAAGCCCTGCAGGAGAACATCAGGAAGCTTAAGGAGACCCATAAGACAACAGTGGATGCTTTAGTCAAGACTGACACACATCTTACTGAAGCTCTTTCAGAGATATCTAGCCTTGAGAGTGGTTTACAAGATGCAGAAAGGAAGTTTGTGTACATGCAGGAGCTCCGAAATTACATTTCTGTCATGTGTGATTTCTTGAATGATAAGGCATTCTATATAGAGGAATTGGAGGAGCACATGCAGAAGCTGCATGAGAATCGAGTGACTGCTGTCTCAGAGAGGAGGGCAGCTGATCTAGCTGATGAATCAAGTGTTATCGAAGCTGCCGTCAATGCAGCAGTATCTGTCCTTAGCAAAGGATCAAGCTCAGCTTATCTATCTGCTGCATCTAATGCTGCACAAGCGGCGGCAGCTGCTGCTAGGGAAAGTTCAAACCTACCACCTGAGCTGGATGAATTCGGCAGAGATATCAATATGCAGAAGCGAATGGATCTTAAGCGTAGGGAAGAAGACAGGAGGCGAAGAAAAATTCGATCAGAATCTAAAAGGTTGTCATCTGAAGGGAGGAGTGCAAATAATGAACATATCGAAGGGGAACTAAGCACTGATGAGAGTGATAGTGAGAGCAGTGCCTATCTGTCCAGCCGTGATGAGTTGCTCAAGACTGCTGATCTTGTATTCAGTGATGCTGCCGAGGAATACTCAAGCCTTAGAATTGTTAAGGACAAGTTTGAAGGATGGAAAACTCAGTATCCTCTGGCTTACCGAGATGCTCATGTAGCTCTGAGTGCGCCATCTGTGTTCACCCCTTATGTCAGACTGGAGCTTTTGAAGTGGGATCCTCTCCATGAAACAACTGATTTCTTTGGCATGGAGTGGCACAAGATTCTTTTTGATTATGGTGAGCAAAACAGTGAAAGTGGCACTGACCCTAACAATGTGGACAAGGACCTCATTCCAGTATTAGTAGAGAAGGTGGCTCTTCCTATTTTGCACCACCGTATTATGCACTGTTGGGATATTTTAAGCACCCAAAGAACCAAAAACGCTGTGGATGCAATTAATATGGTCATTAGCTATTTACCAACCTCAAGCAAGGCATTGCATCAACTATTGGCCGCTGTCAATAGTCGTCTGACTGAGGCCATTGCTGACATTTCAGTGCCAGCTTGGGGATCAATGGTGACAAGGACTGTTCCAGGTGCTTCGCAGTATGCTGCTCATAGATTTGGAGTTGCGATACGTCTTCTTAAAAATGTGTGTTTGTGGAAGGATATTTTTGCAAAACCTGTTTTAGAGAAGCTTGCTCTGGAAGAATTGTTGAAGGGGAAAATTCTTCCTCATATGAAGAGTATCATTTTGGATGCCCATGATGCAATTGCTAGGGCTGAGCGGATATCTGCATTACTTAAAGGAGTGTGGTCTTCACCAAGCCAAAAGTTGCAGCCTTTCATAGATCTCGTGGTAGAACTAGGAAACAAGTTGGAGAGGCGACACATGTCAGGCATAAGTGAGGAAGAGACACGTGGGCTGGCTCGTCGTTTGAAAGACATATTGGTAGAACTGAATGAATATGATAAAGCTAGAGCTATTTTGAAGACTTTTCAGATCAGAGAAGCCCTTTAGCTCTTATTCGGCATACCACAAGAATTCCAGTTTTGACTGTGATACAGGTTCTTAATCCTTCTGCTTTAGGAAATGTTGTAACTTCATCAGGTTTTCTGTACATTAAATGATCATGAGTTCCTCGTTCAATCCTGCATGATGTTATCCATACAAATTTTATGGGGGCTTCTCAATTCAGAAATTATGGTCATTTTTAATTACCATTTACCAATGCTAATTAACTGTCTGCAAATATATATCTTTCTAGCACTTTTCTGTGTTATAGACATATTGTATGACAGTTTGAGCGTGTCTGTATGGTTAATTTTACTATATTTTGAGGCCTTGAGCAGAATGTCTTTGCTGTTTGCATCAGCAAACCATTTTTTACATTTAGCTAACTGACAATGTATTTTTTGAAAGATGCAAGGTGTCTAAATATTGCATGAACGCTTCTATTTAAGATTATGTTTGATATCTATAACTTACACTACCAGTTAAGCTTCTCAGCTTTGTTTGTATTCGTGTCTACTCTGTTTTCTTCATGTGCGCTTTCCCTATTCTTCCTTCCATTATTCTTCACGAAGGGTGACAACATAATTGAATAACTGGGATTATTGTATTTTTTTAAGTGATACCAGTACATCCAGGTCTATGGAATTATACAAAATATAATATTGTCTTTCTGTCATTCTGTCCTGGATTTATGTCCAATGGAAATTGTAAACATCTTAGGCCTTTCTTACGTATGTCTTGTGGACCATTCTTCCAATGCAAAATGTTTCTGTTTGACCGACCTGAAACTTTTCATGCCAGTTTCCATCAATCAATCCCATAATCCAGCACTTTTTTGCTAGTTGTTTCTATTATTCATGATGTTAGGCTTTTATAGCTGATGCACACATTGACTGTCCTAGCGTACTGTATATTACCTGGAGCAGGGAAGAAAGTGAATAGCTTAGTTCTAAATAGTGATGAAAAAGTAAATTACCAAGAAAACAATGCAAATCTGCAGCCTCTGTGTATAAAAAGAAAAACTCTGAATCTGAGCATCTGTTCTGTGTTGCACCAAGATTCTACAGCTACATTATGTCCTCTTCTCTGTTTAGATTAGTGTTCATTGTTAATTATCTTTTTTGTTCCTAAGAAACACTTTGTCACAAACAGTATTGATAGGAAGCAAGTTTTTTTTTGTCAACCATTAATATGCTAAACGAATGCCCTTAGAATATACATATTGTCTCAGAGATTATCTGTCGCCTGCTGAGGATTTCGAAACATGTTGAATATCAATACATAATGTTTCAGTTTTAGCCGAGAGTTTGTGCTCCAAATATATGACTGCCAATATTTTGTGCCCCATAAGCGAACTCCAAAACCATTGAGATTCCTGAAGGCAATGAATAAGGATATGTGTTTTGTGGTTTGGAAGGTACTGTTGGCATTTCAAATAAATAGGGAGTTTTTTTTTTTAGTACAACCTGCAAGCATGTCTGATGTTTGTTTTGCACGGATGACTGCCTTACCTCAACTATTATACTGTAAATAATGTTTGCAGTTGGATCAGGTAACATGTAGTTGGAGCCAGTCACATTTGGTGCAGATTCCATTCTGTGTATTCAGATGCTGCTGTTTATATCACATAATATATGACTTGCCACAACCCTACGCTGGGAATTATGTAGAATCCTTGTTGGTGTTGGTTCAGTCTCAGATTCACCAAGCACTGATGCAGAAACATGATTCCTGCAAACCCTTGCTGCGTATGAAGTCCAGGTGCTCTTGAATTGTGTGATTCTGAGAGGAACTTCCAGTAATGTGGGTTCTTGTTTTTTCTTTCTGAAGGCTTCAACATTATTCCACTAGATCTTCATGTTGGTTCCCGATCTGTATCTGCAAAATACTTACCTACTACTAGTTGGCTTGGATGGTGCTCATGTAGTGATAAATGAGGTACTGTGATCTTGCTACATTGAACATGGCACTGTAGGTGATAAATGACCCTTGCTGACTTCACTGACATATGAGACCAGCAGGATCTTCCAATCAAAGGTACAATGCCTCGTGCATGAATGATAGCAACTATGAAAACTTGTGAATGCAAAGTGATTTTGATACAGCTGCCATTGTGCATGTTATTAGCATATGTCTGGATTTTCTGCATCTTATAATGTTGAATAGGGTCATTCATGTCCCTGATCAATTCAGATTTTGCACATTATAGCTCTTCCTTTTCGTTTGTGCATCATGTAAGGCTGGTGTGTGTGTGCTAGCTGTGGGCTGGTCATGGTGGCGATGCAGGGGGGCCAGCCGCAGCCAGTGGAGGGTACAGACTACAGACTACAGAGCGGGCAGGCAGCGTAATATGCAAAGGACAAAGCGTCATCAAGAGCCGTTGGCTGTGTTTGTCTATCTGTAGTAGCACAGGCAGCAACAGTAATTTGGTTTCAGCTTAGCACGACTGCACGAGTCTACTCATCTGCTCTTTCTTTGTTTGGTGATCTGATCTGTTGTTTAGCTTAGGGGGTGTTTAGACGGGACTAAAAACTTTTTAGCCCATGTCACATCGGATGTTTGGACCCTAATTTAGAGTATTAAACATAGATTAATAAAAAAACTAATTTCATAAATAAGAGCTAATCCGCGAGAAGATTTTTTTAAGTCTAATTAATTCATAATTATCAAAAGTTTAGTGTAGCATCACATTGTCAAAATCATGGCGTAATTAGACTCAAAAGATTCGTCTCGCGAATTAGTCTAAGCTTATGGAATAGGTTTTGTAATTAGTATATGTTTAATACTCTAAATTAGTGTCCAAACATCCGATGTGACAGGTACTTGAATAAGTAACTGGAAACTAAACAGCCCCCTTAGCTTCGCAGATGGTGGAGACAATGACAGCAAAGAAGGAGGGGGCAGCCTTACCTTAATTAATTCAGCGAGATTTGACAGCGATGGTCACGGGAAGTAACGCCCGGGGCCCACATGTCATTGTCCGCATCGCACGGTAACCACCTTTTCATTTGGCTGATTGATTGGCATTTCGCTTTGTTGTGTCAGATGAGATGAGATAAGCAGGGAAAAGTAGTTGCCTCATCGGACCACACAGCCCCGCCCCGCGTAATGCATGTACGCATGCATCGTCGCTCGCCGGCCACACTCTACTACTCTACCACAGCTCAAACTACTACCCTTATTAATCACCCTCTATTATAGTAACTGTTTTGACACTTTGTTGTGAGTTTTTTCTTACCCAGTGATAACAATATTTTTACCCCCAAGATCGAAACGCCAGTGGGCTCCTTCGAGAGACCATATTGGCAAAAGTTGAGGTTGACGAATTAGAAGCTTGGACGGGGCGTGTATTGAGATTAACGTAACCACTATATATAGCCTATAGGCAAATCATCTTGTTATCGACGGGTATCAAATACATGTACCTTTAAAAGAACTACTCCCTCCGTTTCAAAATGTTTGACACCATTAACTTTTTATACGTGTTTGACCATTCGTCTTATTAAAAAAAATTAAGTAATTGTTTATTCTTTTCATATCATTTGATTCACTGTTAAATATACTTTCATATACACATATAGTTTTACATATTTTATTTTTTTTAATAAGACGAACGGTCAAACATGTGCTAAAAAGTCAACGGTGTCAAACATTTTGAAACGGAGGGAGTATTAAATTTTAAAAGAATTATTAAATGTAAATACGAGTAATCTTCACTTTTAACTCTAATGTGGTGGGTAGATTTCAATACAAGAACCTTACCGGTTGAATTAGACTTCACCAATAGATTACAATCTCGGTAGATGTCACCACTTACATTGCTCCTTAATAACGAATGTAGCTACCCCTTTGAATCGTAGTAACAAAAAAAAACAGAAGAATAGAAAAAACATATAATTCTAACAGGAATGTAAGTGTAAAATAGCGAATTGCTAAGTACAGGAAAAACACAACAATGATCGTTTGATTGGATCACAGGAAAAATACAATAATCGGATGAGAGAGATAGACTCAAAGGATTTTTTTTGCTAAGTTTCCTCCAAAACCTATCCTATGCAATAAGCCATCCCATAAGAATTTTGTAGGATTTGAAAAAACTTCAATCCTTTAAACCAAGGGCTAAATAGAAAAATTTTTGATAGATTTCAATCCTATAAAATTCCTTCATAGTTCCTTTAATTCAAAGAGATCCTATACTTTCTTCATTCTAGAATATGAGAATCTTCTATGAAATCTAGAAGTAATCACTTTATCTCAAAATACACCATATAAGGTCTGGTTTAGTTGGGGAAAATTTTTGGATTTGATCGTCACATCAGATATATAGACACACATTTGAAGTATTAAACGTAGACTAATAATAAAACAAATTACAGATTTCGCCAGAAAATTGTGAGACGAGTTTATTAAGCCTAATTAATCTATCATTAGCAAGTGTTTATGGTAGCACCATATTGTTAAATCATGACATAATTAGACTTAAAAAGATTCATCTCGCAATTTACACGTTAACTGTGTAATTGTAAAGAAGGCCTAAGATCTTATTGGGAGAAAAGTGATTATTACTACTACTCCTTATAATCACGACAGATAATCTTGTTCCCAAGCCGACCCATTTAAAGCCGTGCACATGGCCCGAGGTTCTCCACTCTTCTCAGCCCGCACGCACCCACCACTCTCTCTCTTTCTCTAGCTAGCTCCTCCTCCTCCTCCTAGTAGTCGAGCACACACTACTACACTACACTAGTAGGAGTAGAACCTAGAGAAAATGGCGGCGGCTGCTCCGCCACCGCCGACGCCACCGCCAGCGTCCAGCCCCGCGCCACCGCAGGACCCCGCTACCGGCGGCGACGCCCTCGCCTCCTATCTCGGCCTCAGCTTCGCCTTCTTCCTCGCCTCCCTCCCGGGCGGCACCCCCGCCGCGCGCCACCTCGCCTCGCTCCAGTCCCGCGGCCGCGTCCTCGCCACGCGCCTCCTCGCCGCCGAGGACCAGCTCCGCCAGCTGCGCGCGCGCCGCCGCGACGACGCCCGCGCCAATGCCCGCGCCGCCGAGATCTTCGCCGGCCACCGCGCCTCCTGGATGGACAACGAGCGCCGCCTCCTCGCCCGCGCCACCGCCGCCACCGACGAGGCCGCCTCCCTCCGCGCGCGCCTCGCCGAGGCCGAGGCCGACGCCGCCGCGCTGCGCGCCCGCGTCGACCGCCTCGAGCGCGAGGCCGCCGAGCGCGACGATCTCATCAACGCGCTCCTCGCGGCCACGCGCGCCGCCGATGCCGACCTACGCTCCACCGACGACGACCCGGAGCCGCGGGACGCGGAGCAGCACCACCACCACCAGCCGGCGGCTGCGGCGTTGGATTTGGATCCGGCCGAACCGCGCGGCGCTGACGCCGACGCGGAAGCCCTGGCTGCAGCCGCGGCTCTCTACGCTCAGCAGCGCCAGCAGCAGGAGGGTTTCGGCAGCGACGACTTCTACACGGCGGCGGCGGCGGCGGCGGCCTCGGGAATGCAGCAGCCATGGATGGAGCGATCAAAAGGGTGGCAGGTGAGACGACAAAAAGCTGGAATCCATCCCCTTTCTCTCCCATTGACCCCTTCCTTGTTTCTTCTCTTCTCTACTAACACGTTGCCTTCCCTTACTACTACTCCTACACTACCACTTACTTCCAATGATCTTACTCCATCGAGCACTTATATTCTACTATCTTCCCAGGAAGTAGTAAATCTATTGGTGGATTGCTTAATGCTTATCCTTTTAATGGCTGCTACTGCTAATGGATGATTAGCTAGGGCGCATACTACATTTGGGAAATTTTAATGTTACTGTTAGACTTAAAATTTTTGTATGACTTAAAATTTTCACGGCACAAGTTTTTGGTGTGTCTGTTTTTGCCAGAAAACAGATAACAGTGCCTATCAAATTGATTGCAAGAAAAGTTCGCATTCAACTGCATACTTAATCACACATAACTTTGTACTTGTCTCAGAAATGTCCAAACCGCCTCGATTTACTACATTTTCTTGTTCCCCTTGTCCAAACCGCCTCTGTTAGTTTGGGTTTAGTAGCAGTAGGCTTATGCCCTTTATCCATTATCTGTGAACTGTAATAAACAATCAAATTTTGATGTAGTTAATGCTAAGTCTTAGGTGTAACATCCTGTAATTGCTCTCCGTGCACGATTTCCCAGTTGTGATAGTGATACCACCATGAACCTTCATACACCATGTCATATTGCAGAACATAGAACAGACAAACGACCACTTTGATAGCTTTCTGCATCCACTGGAATCCTGATACAAAACCTGTGGGGTAAACCATGCAAGAAAGCTACCTGTACCGTATCTGGCTCATTTGGAACCTGTGATGCGATCACAGGATTCCTGTTGTTGCTCATGCTAACAGTGCCATAGAAGACTAGTACTGCACTGCACCGAAATAATCAGATAGCCTTAAGTTACTCTGTAAAAAACCATCATCATTTTATTATTCTAAACATCTCGCCTTGTTATAATGTCATGTAGTCTCGTAGCCCTGATGGATTGTGCTTATTTTTCATGATGCATCATTTGATATTTATTATAGAGCACACATTTTTCTCGAACTCACAGGAGAGATGCACATAATTACACTAAGAAGATTTTATAGATCACACTTGATAATCAGCAAAGCTTTTGTGCTTTATAACTGAACAAATATGTACCTCTCGTTAGCATAATTGAGTGGTTCACATAAATCCATCTCACACTAGTAAAACTAATCCCTAACCTAACATACCGCACATGCCCACTCAGTTTCTTTTGTTCATATTCGTTACCACATTGAGTACACATTTTTCTTTTTTGATTCATATGATTGCAACCTGTATTTTCTCTCCTTTCTTTGATTTTCTGTCTTCAGATCTGTGTTGCAGGATAATCAAAGTTAAAGATGATAGTTTATTGTTAACCTTTATGGCCTGAAAAAGCACAAGAATTTAAAGAAAAAAAATCAAGTTTTGCATTAAGTAGGAATCAGTTTGAAGGTCAGGAAGGTTGATTTCATGGGTTCTATATGTACTTCATTCTGTGTATTCTAAAATGGAAACAGTTTTAATTAAACCATTAGAAACTGTTCGGTTTCAACTAACACCATTGTTTAGTTGCTCTTTTCTAAAATGTATAAATAGCAAATTCTTGGAAGGGTAGGGCCCTGTTGGGAGCATCGCTTATTACTTACAGTGAAGGGAAGCTTAGCTGGGTGGGTTAGTGGAAGCTACAGCCTTGTTCATTAGCCCATGGCCATATGCTCATCTTCTAGTGAGTAGCAATATAGGATTGATATGTGGGAGTCCATAATAGGTGATGTTGGTGCTGATTACTGCTCCTGGGTGTCTGGTTACTGGCATCTGGCAGCATTGTTATACGCAGTAATTTAAGATCTATTAGGGTTGCTGGAGCCTGCACGTCCAACAAGACTGCTGCATACAAACACTCAGACATGACGCTCATATGTTAATTGTAATGATACTATGAAGTGCAGTTTTCATGCCTTGGTCGACTTGAAACAGCTGTCTTTTTGGCTCAGTACAGTGATACTTAAAAGACACATTTTGATTTAAGCAAGAATCTATGCTTTTGTTATTGGCACTTAAGCGACCACTAATTTGCATATATGTATTTTTTTTCTAGATACACAGTGTTACATAAATTGAAATGTTGTAATGGTGTTGCCACTTAATGCAATGATTGATTTGCATTAATATATATTTTTTTCAATACCAGTGGTACGTAAATGGTATATATAATCTTATTATCATTGTTCTACGTAATTATGTTCATGTTATATATGGACACAAATCCTAGGTATCAATGTTTGATTGTTGGTGTCAGTCTGAGCATTGTTAGACTAGTACCCTTTTTAAATTTTTATGTTTGTGGTTCAATTTTTAATGTTCATCTTGTAGGACCTGAAGTATGAAACGGCTGAGCCGATGTATAACACAAAACATGCTGTACCACGGTAGGTTGGCACTTTTCAATTGAGGCACATGGTTTCCTGAACTTGCAAATGAATAAACGCTAGTTAATGTTTACTCTCTAAACATCTTCCATTAACAGGAGAGAATCACCTTGGAAGGTGGATGTGGAATCGTCAGGAGTTCCTGCAAAGCTTCAACTGCTTGAGCAGGAATTAATTAACCTGGAAAAGATTGGAAATGGAGACTTATCCAAGATACCATTGGTGATGAGAAAGCAAGTGAAAAGATACCAAACTCTTGCTGGGAAGATTGATGATCTTTGCAAAAGAATGGTAAGCATCATCTTTTGATACTGTATCTAGTCTTTTACTTGGATTTGCTGATACTACTGCATAACTTATTCATAGTGTATAACTGAAGATGTGATGAATACATTAATGTAGCATATGGCTGTTATGCTAATAAATACATGCTTGGGAAGATCTGGGAATTTGGGTGTTCTAAAGATAGCGGTGACTTCTGTCTGTTAAACTAGTCATTCTCGGTTAATTGTAGGGAGGAATTAGGAGCAAGGGTTTCCTATGTTGGTTAAAATTGTGCTTCACTCAATGACATTATGCTGGCTCACTTAGGTGATTCATAAATTCTGAAAACGAATGTACACTACTTCACTCACTATGCCGATATATTGTTTCCTGTTATGCATGATATCTTTTTTACTGGTCCTGTCCTTATCTGTATTAGACAGCTGCAGCAGGAGTGGGAAACTACTAACTTCTATTTATTTGGAATTTTGCTCAGCAAACAAGTGACCCCTGTGATTCAACACTGAGCTCAGAGTTTAGAACACAGAGGCAAACAGAATACTTGCTGGAAGCATTCCACCTTCAGCACCGAGCAACTGAAACTAGGCAGAAGCTCAGTGCACTGCAAGCAGAGACTGCAAAAGGAAGTTTTGGTGATGAACTGACAGCAGAAGCCAAAATGAGCACAAGAAGAGCACTGAGTTCAATTCGGAACAACTTCAAGGAAATTCAGCGTAGCCTAGAGATTTGGTTGGCAAGAATTCTGGGAGACCTTGAGGGCATGTTAGCAAGGGACGGGGCATCACGCATAAGGGAGTACTTTTTGTCTCCCTACGCATCAGCTGTTCGATGATAATCTTAGAGCACTCTGGTCGGCACATTAATTCATCTTCATCAGGTAAAGTATGGATGAAGTTCAGCATGTGAAATCGCAGATACCCTTGGGTCTTAATAGGTATTCTTGCAAACATTGGAAGGTATGAAGAGAAGTGATCTTAGACCATACTGATATTTTCACTGATTTCTTTTGAACCAAAGGAGAAACAAAAGATTGGTTTAGGATGTCTATTTTAACTTCCTATCCAGAGTTTTTCTCCTCTCCTTGCCGGTTACATGTTTTGACACAAATTGGTCGTGTCCTAGATCACTTTTCTTCACATTTATCCAAATTGCTGTTGAGGATTCCACTGGACAAGGGTGTGCGCGAACTTGCATGAAGTGGAGCATTCACAGTGTGTACTACAGATGCCCTACATTAGTTTGCACATAGACATCGATCAGTTGGCGGTGTCAATGTGCATTACCGCAGTTCATTTGGTTAGTAATTGTACAGGTTTATGCTTATGCCTCTGATAAATGCTCTAGTCTGTATTAATCTTGCTAGCTTACATTTACCGATTTATGTACATTGTAATTTTTTTGATCGTTGGGCCAACATGCGGTGTAAATGCTGGATCACTTTGGCTGTTGTATGAAACTATCATGTGTGATTCGTAGCTTCACTATATCTATATTGCATTTACAGGTGGTAAATTAAGAAAGGAAAATGCACACATTTTTTTCTGCTGTGAAATAAGTTGCTAGGCATACTCAAGAGAAATTGGATTGAACAAAGCTGAAGGATGTTGATGTGTGGAACTTATGGTACACCAGTCACAGATTACCTGGGGCAGGTACTAATGCCCTAAACTTTTCCCTTTCTTTTCCCCTCACCTCCCACCTCCTATCTTAATCTTTCCCAGCTCCAACTTGGAACACAAACTCTATTTACTTGTAAAATAAACTTTATGTAGTTTAATTCCTCCTTGCAAAATGGAAGCATCCAACTTGTAGCTTAGCTAGTAGTAATTCCCAGATTTACCAATAATGCAAAGTGATCATCTAGAGGTACTGCGCCTGTATCCTCTCCTTGTTCTCCTCCCACCATAGCTTAGCATTCAGCTCTGCAAACCTCTCCCGGCTGCAAGAACAAAATCATCAGCAATACTCAAAAACGCATTTAATCAATCATCTATAGTAATTAGCAGATCATCTGATCATTCAGGAAGTAATTAATAGATACTACATCAGGGATAGGTAGCTAGAGTAGTAGAAAAATGAAGGTTGTGACCTGAAACGGACGCGGCGGAGCTCCCTGGTGCCGTCGGCGAGCTCCCTGACGGTGATGTAGACGCCGGGCTCGTCCTGTATGACCCACTCCGTCACCTCCAGCTCGCTGGCGTTGCTGATGGACACCTCGTCCCTCGACGAGCAGCTGGTCGTTCTCGCCGCGTCCATGGCGTCCGACGCCGCCGCGGGGCTCTTGCCAGCGCGCTGCGGCTGCTGCTGCTGCTGCCAGGCCCGCTCCGACGGGTTGGACGACGACGGCGGCGGCGGCGACAGCGGCCGGAAGCTGTGCTGCTGCTGCTGGCGCGAGGCCGACGGCGGCCGGACGAAGGCGCTCCAGCTGGTGACGCGGTCCGGGGTGAGCGGCGCCGGCGACGGCGTGGCGGCGGGGCTCCCCCTCGTCGACCCCACTTGAGAGTAGAACGATTCCCTCTGCTCAAATAATTAATTTTAATTCATGCAAATGCAGAGAGAGAGAGAGAGAAATGGCCATATATGAATATGATATCCATAGATCACCAGCTTTAATCGTTGCATGCATGCTCTGCACTCTGCAGCACTAGCAGCAGCTAGCAAATCGTCGTTGCATCTTTTGATGCAAGCTACTAGCTAGCAACGACGAAAGCAATATTCTGTAAAAGCATCGCCATATGCAGAGTTGCAGATGCAGGCAAGAACGTATCAGCATCTATCACTGCATGATGCCAAGCCAAGAACGGGACAGGCTAGGCTAGGCAACGTCGCCGTCGTGGCCGTGTGCTGTTGCCTTGTCGCCGCCTCGCCGGCCACATCATGCATGGGGACCATGACATTTGTACTAGTAGTAGTCAGGAAAGAACAAGTGAAGTGACCTCGCCGTCGTCGGAGCGCGGCGGCGTGGGGAGGACCTGGCGGCTGAAGCGGCGGACGTTGTAGAGCTCCATGATCCGCTCGTTGTTCTCGCCCCACCACTTCTGCGCCTGCCACTTGTCGTACATCTCCCGGCTGAACCTGATGCGTTTCAGGTCGTTGCCGCCGCCGCCGGCGAGGGACACGAACGTGATCTGCACCCCGGGCTCCACCTGCGCCACCCACTCCCGAGCCTCGCCCTCCGCCGGCCGCGCGAAGTCCCACGCCGGCGTCGAGCTCGCCGAGCTCATCGACGTCCCGCCGCCGCCCAGGTACGTCGCCGGCGGCACCGCCATGTCGTCCTGGACCATGCCCGGCCGGTAGTACCCGCTCCGGTACACCGACGTCGTCCGGCCCCTCGGCGGCGGCGACCCGCCACGCCTCTGCTGACCGTGATGACGGCTCGTGCCGGACAGCTTCATCACCATGTCCTTGAGCTGCATACACCAACAATTAATAACACATTTAATTTTTGATGATCCATCATCCATCATCTCCTAATTGGATTCATGGGATCATCGATGATCAACACTAGGATGATACTTAAATATCAATGTGATCAGATGCAAGATTTTGTCCTATGATGACGAAAATGACATTGCGTCAACTTCATCAGGGTTCATTAGGTGCATTGAAATGAGATATTTAGCCCTTGATGGTTGCCTCTGCATTCAGCAGATAGCTACACTGCAGGTAAAACAAGTAGTAAAAGAAATTGTAAACGCTTTCTCCAAGCAATGCAAATCGAACTTGTGCTATTCGATCACATTATAGTCCTGAAAAGAACTATAATGAATCATACATTTGTGCTGATTCTGGATGTTATTTCCTTCCGTTAAGATTATACCTGGATCATGGTTTGCTGAATATATTGAATCATAATTCAGGACGCATTTGTGCTCATTCTGGGTATGTGTCAGTCATTAAGCTTCCATCTGGATGCATTACTCTTGGTTACAACTTAAAAGGCATCATGATTTGCTGAATAAGTTGTATACTCTTCCAACTGGCTGATTTCCAGGGAAGTTCAGCTCTTGATTTGGACTCATTCATACGACTGCAGCTTTGGGCCAGGTACTAGTCCTACTACCTAGTATATCATCCATGTTCCTATCTGCATTATTGTCAAGGTATTTGGTTCTACAACCAGAATTTCTGGAAACTAGAGGTCTAGAGCTAATAGCTACTAGTAAGTTATTGCTTAACGCATCATCTTGCAACTATCTGCACTAATAGCCACTAGTTGTCGACAAATCTGTCTGCAGCATTCAAATGGGCGATTTTATATTGGGGTACTATTGGCAGTGCAGCTAGTGAATCCATTGAAGGCTCCGGTCAAATATGAATGCTAGATAATGAAGCTGCTTCCCCTTTAGGGGTCAGGGAATGACATTTTCAAAGACTATCTTACACTCTAGGATCCACTATTTGACCTATAGCCAATCAATTTGTAATCTTTATTCAGCTCAGACTGCACAATGCCATCTTGCATTGCTACCTCATCAAGACTGAAGAAGAAAGTAAATACGACCTGTTCCACACTTCACACAGTAAGTGGTAGTAAATTCTTATTCTACCATGAGGTAAATATATAAAGCAGCACAACCTGAAACAAGGATATGTATGTTTTTATCTCATACAAGTATATACTATATTTACATTTTCTTCCTAGCTATTTAACTCCATTACTAGCCACTACTGTCCATGCGCCTGTATGTTTCATCTACAGTTTGTTTTCCCCTTTCATGATATCAAGCATCACTTTAGGACTGGTCTCTTTTATGTATTGTTATTGTTAAAAACATGTACTAGTACAATGAACATCCCCGCACATAGATTCTTGCCGTGCTACTGATAACAACTGAAGCATGCAAGCAGCAATGCAGATGCAGTGCAACATCCCCATCCATCCATCCAACCAGGGGATCTCTTTATTTGCATTGCAGTGCACTAGTGCCACTCTCTCAATCTCTCCTTTTGAGAAAGAAAGCATGCTGGAGCCCCATCCTTATATCAATATCTCATCTGAAGCTCTGAGCATACCTTATACTACATATACTTTGGTGTTGAAAAAAGAGAGAAAATGAGAAGCAAAAGACATGGACACATAGCTATGGGAAGTTGGGGCACAAAGCTTCTTTGTCACAAAAGAACAAGGGAATAGTCCATGGCCACTCTTTGTGGGGGAGGAATGAAAGAAAGAAACAATAGACATATGTAGATGACGCATACTATGTGCTTTGCTTTAATTTGTTCCAGGATCTCTCCCCAAGGAAACGACACAAAGTGAAAGGTGATCATCCACCAACCAGGGCAGCCACAGCCTACACTACGCTACCTGTCCCCTCATTTTGACCATCTCGTTGCCCGCTTCAGTTTCAGTTTGAACATATATACAGTATCTAACTAACTGTATCCACATCACTCAAATATTAGTAACTGTGTTCAGTTAGCTTAAATAATATGAAGTGCAGTGTCCATCTGGCTGCTACATCTATGGGAATAGCTAATTAAAAACAATATATCTAGTCCTATCTGATCTAATTTCAGATTTTCATATGGTAGACCGGTAGCGGTATTATCCTTACAGAAAGTATGGATGTGAAAACATTGGATTCAAAGCAAGTCCAAATGTGAAAACAAATGTTGATCAGGACTAAATGGGGCACATCTTTTCTGGTTTCACATTGATGCCAAAGCATGGATTAGTTTGATCAGATGGGTGAAACGGGTGATTGGTTAAATTGAATCAGGCATCTACTGCAAGCTAACTTGTGATATGCTACTCTGAAAAGTTTCAGATTGGGAGAGCTGGGAAAGCATTGGTGAAATGGCGATGGATCATGCAACAACGGTCGTGAAGAGGCCGGGGCAAAAAAGGCGCGAAACTTGCTTTGAAGTTAAAGGCAGGTACTGGCCGGATGATTGATCAGGTGAGCTTCCAGTATTCTGTTTCTAGTAGACAAGCATAATAATAACAAAAAGAGAAAAGAGAAAGAAGAATTGATCGACTTTGGCACAAAGATAGCTAGCTAGCGTCAGTGTCATGCTCAGCTAAAGCTTCAATTCGCCGAAAGAGATGGAGAGAAGTGAGATGCGTTTCTTTTTGGCAGATGACCGGCCACCAGGTGTTAGTATACTATAGTATTCATCCGATCGATCGATCGATTAAAGAAGAAAAGAGAAAAGTGATAGAGATACATGGACGACGTTGGACTGATTAGGTAGCTACTACTATTTAATTAAGGTTGGCGCTAATAGTTAATTAGCAGCTTCATCTGTTGAAGCTTGCAGACATCTGATCGATCGATGTCTGCATGCTGTTGGTCGATCGATGAGCTGAGGTAGCAGAAGGAGGCAGCTGCTGGGAGCAATGGAGCCCACGGCCGGCCATGGATCACAGTTGTTACTCGATCGATCCTACAGTAAATTAGTAGCTAGCTGCAATGCAATACTAGTAAGGTAGGTCGATTGATCGATGGATCGATGGAGATCGGATGATGGATCGGGATTGGCGCCTGGCTTTTGTGTTTTGCTAGTACTGCATCATCTGTATCATGTACAGTCTCATGCATGCAGCAGCCAAAGCAATGAAGCTGCGAAAAGCAGCAGCGTATGCTGTTATTATCAGCAGCAGCATCAGCTTGAGCTGCCATGATTCCGACACGTGGGCCACGCATCCACCGTACACGCCCGCTCGCATCCATCATCCATGCCCTGGGTAGGGTTGGTGGGCCCCTACGTACGCCTCGGAAGACGTGCCAAGCGAGACAATGGTCAGTCGTCTCTCTTGTAGTCTTGCTGTACTGTCAGTCTTCTCTCTTGTTTGGTAATACCTCTGGTTGCTTCTTACACTGGCATTATTATTAACCTACTATGCACTACTTCATCCATTCAAAAATATAAGTATTTTTAGAATAGAGGGGTATATATTCCGGTTGTATAAAAACATTATTAAGCTAGTAATTAATTAGGGCATATAGTAAACTTAAGAGAGAGGATGGCAACGCGCATATATATATATATATATATATATATATATATATATATATATATATATATATATATATATATATATATATATATATATATATATATTGCTCAATCGAAAGCGACTGCACGGGCACGCCCTCTGATCTCCGGCCGGCCGACCAGCCACTCATCCTCTCTCGATCATTACTGCTCTGCTCGCAGCATCACACTTTGCTTAACTGTATTATTATTATCGTTTCCGTCCTCATCATCATGTCCATTAATTTATGTAGCTGCAGCTTCATCTCTCTCACTCACTTTTTGTCAGTTAATTACTACCGTAATGCAATTAATTGGGGACTCTATCTACCTAGTTCTTCTATATATATACTCCCTCCGTACTTAAAAAAAAAGAAGTCATTTTGAACAGCTTCACGGTCTCCAAAACACAACTTTAACTTCTTATTTCTATAAAAATATTTATTGGAAAGTGATATATGTATTCTTTTATGGAAGTATTTTTCAAGACAAATCTATTCATATAATTTTTACATTTTCAAACTCAACAACTTGAGAGTTATTAATGATTTATATTTTAAAGGTTTGACTTAAACATTGTCCTAAACGAGTTTCTTTACGAGTACGGAGAGAGTATAAGACTCTGATATTAATTGCCTTGCGTGTATCATATAAAAAAGCAAGAGGAAAAGCTAGGTGTATATATATAGCAAACTCTACCGTCCAAACAGTGAAACAAACGATGTAAAGTTTTGAAATTAATCAGTCTCGAGTATGTAAGTAGTGCTAGAGAACCTTCAAACACGTAGGAGTACATATATAAGGCCAAATCAATCGATCTAGCTAGTGACGTAGTAGTAGTAAATTAATAAGTTCTAAACACTACTCATTACGTAGGAGTACAACATCTGCAGGTACTATTATATTGTACGTTGTGTTGGATTGGTGAAATCATCGAATACTTTATATGTATATATATACAGTACGTACTAAGTTTTTTTCGCGAACGCCATATACGTACATGTATATACTGCACATATATGTGCGTAGTACGCATCTCTGACCCTGAGTACGTACGTACTCAGTTAGCATTTACTAGTAATTTTATTTTATTTATTTAATTATGAATTAAGACAGTACTACCCGATTATAATTGAAGGAATCGATGGTACAGGATCGGAGTTAAGTGCCGGGTGTCATAACAACCCTCTATGTGCCGTGATCAAATCCTCGATCGGCAGATCGATCGATGTGCTACTAGTAATACACTGAGCATATAGTGTGGCTAATTAATAGTGTATATTTATATAGAAAAAAAACTTGCACATATATATATATATATATATATATATATATTTGTGATTATTTATATATTGCGCAGCTAATAATTAATAAATTAATTAAAGCTCGATCGGTAGCCTCAAGAAAGTAATGGATGGTACGGTGGTGCAGATGGTTAAGTAACAGATGATAGTATCGATCGAAAATAAGCTGGAGTGCAGATCGATGGCAAACAAGATGCAATGCAAGCAAGGTAGCCCGGCCGGTTGCAACAAGAACAACAACAAGAAGAAGAAGAAGCAGCAGCAGCAAACAAAAAGGAAGGAGAAAAATGAAGGTATAGTAGTAATAAATTAAGTAAGAAATTAACCTGGGAGGTGAGCGTCTTGACGGGGTCCCTGCAGGTGGGCGTGTCGTCCCCGGCGCCGGCGCCGGCGCGCGGCGTGTCCTGGCGGCGGCCGCCATCTTCCTGCTTGACGCAGGCGATGCAGGCCAGCATCGTCTCGAGCGCGCTAGCTAGCTAGCTGTATGTGTGTGCAGGCCTATAGCCTAGCTAGCTAGGTAGCTCTCGCTCGATCGATCTCTCTCGACTCGACCTCTCTCGCTCGCCGGCCGGCCGGCTACTAGTGTACTAGTGAGTGTATATATACAAGGGAGGCGAGGTGAGGTGCAAGTGCAAGGCCGGCGTGCTATATACTCCCTGTAGGAGCTAGCTTAGCTTGCTTTAGGTTAGGTTGTCTTGTGAGAGAGTTAAAGCACAGCGCATGCGCGCGCGCAGCTGGAGAAAGGAGTGCGCGTCGTCCCCTCCCCTGGAACTGGACCTGGATATTCATTTATCGCTACTTAATCTAGTAATTAAGTTTGTACTCCTAGCTACTCACTGCTGTACTATTTCCTCCGTCCTATAATATAGCAACTTATACAATTAAATAAAAAATTTTACCGTACAATAAATCTGGGTAAAAAAGTGTTAAGATTTATTGTACTGTAAAATATTTCATTCAATATCAAATTGTTATACTATGCGACGGAAGGAGGAGCCGGCGTAGGAGTAGCTAGCAGAGTGATAGCTAAGGTTACTCGAGCTGCAAGCGTGGCCGGCCATCGCCATTCGCCAGCGATGCAACGCAAGCCCATTCGTCCTATTCAAAATTATCATAATCTTAATTAATTTACCGCGTGTCCCGCTCTTAACTCTGTCCCGCTCTTAATTAATTTACCGCGTGATAACTATTAACTCTGTCCTGCTCTTCTCTCTGCTCCACGGACTCTGCTTTTCTACTTTCTTCTTTTTCTTTTCATTTCTTTTCTTATCTCTTCTCTTCTTCTGTAGACTGTATGTATGTACTACTATATTTCTTTATCCATCAAATTTCTATATAAGTTATCGCTAGGGATTACCCCTGTCTCGCTGCACAAGAATCCTCTGCTCTGAATTATATCCAGCTCCATCAATAATTTGCATTTTGTCTATCTATATTAACGTTGTTGTTTCTAGTGTTGGCCTTTGTATAAACATCCTTGATTAAAAAAAAGAGAGCATCGATTGATTCTCTAGTTTTGTAAGTGCTCCAAAGTAATCTCAGTTCAGACTTGAAAAACCTCTACAGATTAGCTATGAATTGAACAAGTATTAGTGGCAGTGCCATAGATGTTATTATTACACACACTCAAAACACAGGTGCATGGCTATTATGATGATGGATCATATACTCTAGTACCTAGTCAATTTCACTTCATTTCAATGCAGAAATTAGGGGGCGTTTTATCTGTAATGAAGGGCCCACCATTGCTTAATGATCAGGTGCTATGTGTCAGCCATACATCAATGTTAACGCTCTCACTGCAGCATAAGAAACCAATTAGGCCACTCTGTCAAGTGTCAACACGATCTCCATAACAAACTTTAACCACAAGATCGAAATTAAGGGCTAGTGCCGGAATGTTCGCCTGTCCGGGCCACACACGAATCACGAATGCTCGTGTTTTTCTTTTTCCGCCACATCATTAATTTCCTCGATCTTCTTGTAAGTTAATGCACTGAAAGTTCGATTTTATAGATTCAATTCATCCATAGCCAATCTAATAGCTCATTCATACAATAGTTACATACTACACTATTAATACCTGGTCCCACCTGTCATACAAACACTGTGTCTTTGAGTCCATGCTACAGCTGGCTATAAATCTGTAGCCCGCTGCTCTTCTCTCTCCTTATTTATCTCCTTAAAATATGTTTGCAGCTGGCTTATAGCTTGCTATTGTACCTGCTCTAATACTGATTGGATTTAAATAATTTTATATAGAATGATTCTATATTAAAAAGCTTATAGTATAAAATTATTATGTAAAAACGTTTCAGGGCAAAGGGTCAGAAACATGTAGGCCAAGCCGAATGTGTTTGCATACATCTAGACCGTGCGTGGACGTTCTCCCATTAGGCCTATATATCCAACAGATAAAGAAGAATATTCAAATTAATGTTATCTTGGTGCGCGTATATTTTATGAGATACTCCCATCCGCCTCATGAAAAACGAATATAGTACCGAATGAGACACATCATAGTACTACAAATCTGGATAGATATATAACTAGATTCGTGGTCTATATCTGATACTAGGTTGGTTTTTTATAGGACGGAGGAAATAATAGACAAGTTGTCTATAATATAAAATACAATAACCCAATATGAAATGGTAGTAGTATATATTAAAAAAAAAGAGATTTTCTAATGAGGAGATGGAGCGGCTATTGAGGAACAGCATGCATGGTCGGAGAGAGAGACAGTAATCCGAGCACTTATAATTACTCGTGTGCGCACAGTAGATAGGCCTCTGCATCACGCTATGATTTGTTTTGAGTGGAGCGTGTGCAGCGGCAGCGGCAGCAGCTAGCTTTGCACTTGCACTTGCCATTGATGAATATGCCTAGGTTGCATGGCAGGCATCCATCGAGTGTTTGATGTTCTTTTAGTACGATTGATCGGACATTAGCTGCATCATTACTGATGCACGTAGGCCATTTCACACCGAGTGCATATGCAATATATTGCATGCGCATGCACCTCCTTTTCTAATCGTGGATCTGTTGTTTGTAATAGTTGGTAAATACTCCCTCCATCCCTAAATATTTAACACCGTTGAATTTTTTAAACATGTTTGATCGTTCGTCTTATTAAAAACTCTTTTGAAATATGTAAAACTATATGTATACATAAAAGTATATATTTAACAATGAATCAAATGATAGGAATATAATTAATAATTACTTAAATTTTTTAAAAAAGACGAATGGTCCAACATGTTTAAAAAAGTTAATGGCGTCAAATATTTAGGGACGGAGAGTTTATGTACCCAACACCTGAGGCCTGTGCAACGTCCCGCCTCTCGCAGACCGGCCTGGGCCCGCTTACATCTGGCAACTTTCATAGGCCATAGACTGCCCTCACAGACCAACACAAGTCTTTTCTGCAACCAAGCACGCTTAACCTATGTTCTTTCGAGATCGGCTTCTGAAAAAGAAGTTACAAATTGTTGATATGAGTATCCTATCAATCCTATTAAGCCCTGGGCGGAGATGTTACAACCTAGTACATTTGGTACTAGATCCGTTATCTACTTGGTATATATTACATCTAATACACACCTTATATTATGCCATTATTATGTAACGACACGACGAACTATAATGCCCTTTTATATAACCTGAAAATATAATTCTCGACACAAATACTTGTCGGCCTAGTTATAAAATCTTGAAGCTCTGCTAGTGGTTAGCACTTACAGTATAAATCGATTCACGGTTTTATCGGGCGTTGACAATTGAGGTCAGGTTAGAAAGGAACGCTCGTGTCCATAAGGGCGGCGAACACGGGGGTTGATCGAATCATGTAAGAAAGGGGAAGCTTTGGGTTGGTGCGGTTTAAAAATAACACAGATGAGGTGAGCGACGCAGTTTGGTGGCGCGGCGGAGATTTCGCCTAGCATTCGACGGAGCGGAAGAGAAAAAGCAGGCATGAAGATGGGAACATACAGGGGATCAGACGGTTTGGTTGTGGGGTCCGCAAAGCGTATTTTTTATTCGGAAGCGCGCAGGCACATGCAGCTAGCGCTGGCGACAGAATGGTCGCTCGCTTCCTTCTCTCTTCAATTCTCTTTCTTCCACGTAGGATTTAGATAATATAAAATGTTTTGGAGCATGCTGAGTCAGCTTATTGTACATGCTCTTAGAGCACCCGCAATGGTAAAGTAAGGTGCTATCTATAAAACATGTACACCTCAACAATAGACTAGATTAATAGTAAACCATTTCAATGGTATGTCTACATGGGTATCTATAGCTCTCTAATCCATTGCCTCTTTTTTCTCTATAGACTATCTCCATGTTAGTAGATAGCTTTGCTCTCTCTCTCTTCATTTAATCTCTTCCAATTAGGAAAACAAGCATAGTGGCCCGCGCAGATTGCGCGGCTAGCATCATTATATTTTCTCTCATATAATAGCATATATGTTTTCTCATTATATTATTCAAATATATTAAAATGACAACATAATTTTAAATTTTGCAATAACTTTACAAAACTACTAATGTGTAATATTTATATTATATTTTATATACGTGTTAGTTATTAATTATTTTTAATATCAAATTTTAGTTATTTGTAAATTATATATATTCCTATATGGACTCTAGACTCGTCTTTTAATATTTCTTTTTTTAATTCATTTTTATTTATGAATTTTTATTATTTCTAATTGTATTTCTATGTGGACTCTAAACTCATCTTTCAATATTCTTTAATTTTTAATTTCGAATTTCAGTTGCTTCTAAATTATATTCCAATATTTGTATTCCTATATTGACCTTAAATTCTTCTTCCAATGTTTTTCTTAATTTTGAATTTTAGTTATTTGTAAATTGTATTTTTATACAGACTCTAAACTCTACTTTTAATTTTATTATGTTTATTCCAAATTTTAGTTAGTTTTAAATTCCTATATGGACTCTATACTCTACTTCTAATATTCCTTATTTTTTTAATTCCGAATTTCTATTTTTTTTTCTAAATTGTATTTCTATATATACTCTATACTTTACTTCTAATATTCCTTATTTTTAATTCCGAATTTATATTATTTCCTAATTGTATTTCTATATGTACTCTATACTCTACTTCTAATATTCCTTATTTTTAATTCCGAATTTCAGTTATTTCCTAATTGTATTTCTATATGAACTCTATACTCTACTTCTCATATTTCTTTTTTTTTAATTCTGAATTTCAGTTATTTCCTAATTGTATTTCTATATGGACTCTAGTCTCCTCTTCTAATATTCCTTTTTTTCATTCCGAATTTCAGTTATTTCCTAATTGTATTTCTATATAGACGGACTCTAGTCTCCTCTTCTAATATTCCTTTTTTTAATTCTGAATTTCAACTATTTCTAAATTGTATTTCTATATGGACTCTAGTCTCCTCTTCTAATATTCCTTATTTTTTAATTCCGAATTTCAGCTATTTTTAAATTGTATTTCTATATGGACTCTGTCTTTTCTTTTTCTCCGATTAATGTGAGAATTTCTAGGCCATGAGAGCGAACTTGGAGGTTCCTTTTTCTATTCCTTTAATTATATATTTAATTCCAAATTTCTTTGTAAATTGTATTTCTATATGGACTCTAGTCTCCTCTTCTAATATTTCTTATTTTTAATTCCGAATTTCAGCTATTTTTAAATTGTATTTCTATATGGACTCTGTATTTTCTTTTTCTCC